CCACTTTCGCCCATAAAAGCCAAGAAACTTCTACTTTGCGAGGTTTCCGGAACAGGTGCCATAGTCGAAATGGTACAATGATCAAGACGATTCCTAAAGGCACAATGCCCAAGATGATTTCCTCAAAGAGAAGAGAGAAGTCAAACCCCCCTCGGCAAGATGATGCGGGAACACGCAGCGCATTATCCACCCCCTGGCAGAATAGAGGGGAAGGTGACTGTACCACCATGACGCCGGATCTACTTTGAAGTAGATTTGAATAGTTGCGATGCCAGTGAATTGATTGAGTTATAGCCAGATTTGCATTGGAAGGACACGAAGACAGGCGCGGGGTTGAAGTCGACTTGCCGGGTGTCTTCTGTCTACCAGTGCCGAGTCGCCCGGAAAGCTCTTACACGCATTTGCCTCCCCTCGTCGGCTTACCCACGATCCCACCTTTGCAAATGGATAGAAGTGCAACTACAGTCGATAGGTTGACAATGAAAGCAAAATAATCGAATGGATATTGTTTGACGGAAACAATCTAGAGGGATAAATTCGCCTAGGGGGAAGTAAAAGAATGGTATAGTATAAGGTAGCATACAGTTCAACTAAACAGACCGGGCTTAGAGACAATGACAAATAAGAGTAAGACTGAAAGTAAAATATATTAAAAAATGAAAAAGGAATGAATAGAAAATAAATTAGAAAGGAAACAAAGAACTCGAACAGTGAAGCTCACCATATGCTGTTTCGGCTTTGACGCGGGCTTCCTCCAAGCGATCCTTTCCGCTATTTTGCTTTATTGATTTCTCGAAATTGGAATTTTTTTTCATTATTGCCATTAGTATTGCCATTATTATGACTATGATTATTGTTGATTTTTCCACCTGTAGGGGGTTTCAACTGATCCCAAGGCCATTAGCATCTTCTACTACCTCGCATTAGCCTGGACGGACCGAACATCATTCGTTGGATGGGGAAAAAAACAGATAAAATGAAAATTAAAAAAGTGTTCAATGACACGAGGAACAGAGGTACAGGATATGCTGTGCAATCTTACTCACCCGATCCTCAATGGCCGCGACAGTCCCCTGTCGAGGCAGATTTTGTTTTTCGTGGTGTTGTAGCTTGGTTGTTCCCCCGTTTCTTCAGCTGAGAATCCCCCGTCTGATTGTCTTTCTCGTTACCATATCGTGGTTGACCTGGTCTGGACCTTCCGCAAAATCTTTGACACGAACCCCTGTCCTGTCGTCCCCACTTTGCAAGGGATGTAGAGTCGCAATAGGTACACGTAGAATCCTGGCAGCCTCGCCCTGGCAGGGAAAAGCCAGTAGGAGCTGGACCGATGTCTAGGAAGGCGGGAAGCCGGCATCTTTGTTCCACCCAAATCCCGAGTCTGACAGGAAGGCCGGGCGGTGTTTAAAATATCCCGCTCCACCCATGCGGATTCCGATCCAGACGAGCTCCCAGAAACGAACTTGAAAGGAATCCTTCTCGCATACACGAAGCGATGTGGTGGTAGGGCCACGGCATGACTGACTTGGTGAGATGAAGTATACTCCGAAATGGACATGTCAGGACCCTCACGGCCGGCTATGACCTATGGTGGATGTCATCTGGACTCCACAGGCAGAGTCAGCGCTCATTTTTGAACGAGATCTCTGTGCTACTAGTCCGTGAACTAATGTGACGGAAGTTATGTAAGTGGGATCTGATTGAGTGGCAAAATACCCCATCATTGGCTTAGCGGAGGTACTTTGTCGGTAGTTTATGGTGACATCGATCCCACTAGTCGATCCGGGTGATCAGTCAATTGGCAAACCAATGCCGGGGTGTGATGGAAAAAAGTGGGCACGTATAGGCTGTCATGATGATTGGCATTGGTTGACATCGGTTGTGATCGACCACGGTATCATGCCATAATCCTCATTTGTTCCTTGGGACGACGAGAGTTTTTGGTACCTGAACTAGCCAGGTGGTTGACTCCTTCACTGCTGCATTGTTACGAAAATTGGTGACGATGGATCGAGTATCCGCGGAGCTGGCTTGGTGTTGTTCAAGCGATCAAACCTTGAGGATGGTAACGATCGTGTTCGTGGCTTGGTGGTTGTGACGGCACATCCCATGGCCGAAAAAAGACCAACGCCAAGGATGCAGGATCCCTGACGATAATAGGTTGGTCTGGCCATGATGAAGTTAGACCTTACTCAGATTGGTTACTGTTCCCGGCTCCCTTAGTACTCGAGGTGGAGTTCGATGCCTAACTTAACCCACCCTCATCTCCCGGCTAGGAAGGAGATCACACTAAGTCTTGAACAGAATTTGTCTCCACTGGGAAATCTGATGATCTTTCTCCTAGGACGTCTTACCTCACCCAGGGCCCCCCCTCCAAAACAAGGATAGTGTTCCGAAGCAAACGGAACTACAAGACTCCATTCTTTAAGGAGTGGATCATGACCTTTTCAGATGGACTGACGGCTGAAGAGTGAAACTGAAGACCTTTCGGCGGAGTTCATGAGAGACCAATATGGTTCGGCCGAAGATTTCCCAGGAGTTTCCTTGATTCAATTATTCAGTTATTCAATTATTCAGTGAGCCTCCGTATTCAGTTGTATTTGATTATTTATTTAGATAAACTTGATTTTTTGTAAGACCCGATGGAACCTAAATGTGGATAATACGAAACTCAAACGATGAAAAGAAAAGAAAACTGGAAAACGAATAGAAAGATGAAAGGAGGAAAGCACCGGGATCTGACCTTAGGGCTTAAATTCCCACCTATACGACTATCAATGCCCGATGGGCCACGGCAGCCAAACGGGGATCAACTCGGGTTCGATAGCCGAAGCGAGCGAAGGAAGTGGACTGTGGGTCTGGCAGTTTTTGTTCATGCTTGAATATCTACGGAGTACATTTTCTCCTGGGTTATTCCCCCGAGCTTATCCGGGGCAGGAAAATTATGAGAGATCATTATTCTCTTCTATTTTTATTATGAATTTTCATTTGTTATTTTTTTTGTTTGCTCATGTCTAGTTGGAATTACAAATTCTCGCTTGGGAAAGGGGATCTTCACGTCAAAAGCGAATCCCCCTGGGCTGATATAGCCTGACATGCAGACAAGCCACTAGTGTCAATTAAACGCCCTAACCTTCCCACCGCCATTGCTCACCCCCTTGCATCCTTTGAAGTCCTGATTGATTGATTTGTTCGATCGTATGAGCTCTTAACTGCAGTCCGTTCTGACGCTTAGTTCCGGAAACTTGATCTTGGCTGGGATGCGTGGAACCACATCCGATCCACTGGCCTGCGGAATCTTCCGACGAAAATGTGAAAGGGCCAATTGCAGGTCTGAGTTTCTGGGGTTGCTTCCTGCGGGGGGGGGGTTGCTTCCTGTGGGTCCCTAAATATAGCAATATAAAAAGTACCTCCGATTTTCTTGAAGACTCCATGATTTTAACCGAGTATGACAGGGTAGCGACTGTAGGACGTAGTTTGCAGCACACCTATTTCCTATCTAGCGTTAGTAGAAGTAAGGTAGGTAGTTGATAAATTTGATCTAGTTCCTGTCTAGGTTGACCAATCAGTAAAAGGCTCACGACAATAAGAATTTTCTTGATTGAATGAGTATGGATTGGATTGACACTGCACCTTTCATAAGGTTACCTCATTCAGCTATCCACACAAACAAGCCAAAAGGGGCAAAGCAGACGACTCGATTTTGCCTAGCACCGTGACTGGAAAATCACCTACCTACCTAGGACTTGCGGGTACCTGCGAGGGGTACTCGATGGTCGGACCATGAGATCAATCGTCAGGCCCCCAGTAATACAAAACGGAATGTACGAAGTAGTGCGGAATGGAAAATCCAGCCCCGTCTGTAGAAGAAGTTGTTGTCAGACAACAGTTACCACCATGGATCTAGCCCTGCCACGCATCATACGGGCTTTTTGATCGCATGGGAAGAAACGGTGACATTCTTCTCTGACCGTCCCAGTGACTATTCTCAAGAGGTTTCAGCCTCAGAGAAATGACCACTGTAGGAATGTGTTGGCAATGTACCATAGGCTGTTAAACAAGCTTACCACGATTTGGGTGACCGTGGCGTTGATGGCCATTGAGACAAAGGGTCCTGTTCTCACCAAGATGAAAACTTTGTCTACACAATTGGAAGTTCTCTTTTAGATAAGGCTGACAGGATCTCTTCTAGACAAGGCTGACACACGAGTAGCCCAAGTGTGAACATGTGGTTGCTTTACAACCTTCAAGTTGCTTCTCACAAAGGAGGATCGCAGCTCAGCTTGTCACCAGGCGTCCGTTGTATATCATAAGGCTGCCCAAAATACGAAGAAACCTCATAGAATTTGCAAAATTGATGTGATAGTTCACACTGGTTTGATACGCGTGAAGGAAGAGCCACTGTAAGAACAAGTCTACAATGAGCCTCTCTGATGATGGACCGAGTCATCACGCTTTTCCTTGTGAACCAGCCAGGATGCAGTCAAACAGTAGATGCAGGGATAGAAACTGTTAGAAACCCACCCAATCCGTAAGCCCATACGGAGTACGGGGGAGTATTTAGTCCATCATTGTCACTGACAGCAGCAGGTTTCTTTCCACCAACAATCCATCAGAACCCTGTACTTCTTGTGCATTTTTTCTTTTTTTTCTGCCTTTTTTCTTGACTTTTCCTTTTTACTTTTTTACTTTTTTTTCTATTTTATTTATTATTATCGTTTACTATTTCTGTTATTGACCCACTCATTCCAGAGCCACCCAAGCTGAGTGCCTCACGCCGTCAACACATGGGCCCAGGCCGGTGATGGATCTCAATGTCACTGTGCCTAAGTTGTACTGTGTCGGCCATGAGTCGAGGCAAGGAACCTCTGAGCTTTTGACCCATTTCAGTATCTTATATTGAAATCATCGTTTCCCGAGCCTGACCTGCATTATTGGCTCTCAGATCTCTCGTTTCATTGCCCCCGAACTCTAGTTCGTCCACCGATCTCCAGTGGACCATAGGATGAAGCTCTACTGTTAGCCACTCTGGTAATCTATTTTAGGCTGAAAATACGAGCCCCGAGCTAATTGTCTATGTCTTCAATTTAAGGATAGAAAGCCGTCGAGCCGAGAGTCGCTATCATAAACTTTTTTTTTCCTACGTCGAAAAGACTCGTCCCTACCCCGAAGACCACCCCACCAACTAAAATAATACGGTAATACTCACGAATAGCCATGGCTCCTTCTTCTGTGCCATGTTGTCTACCGGGATTTAGCCCCGAATCAAAGGGACCCAAACGGGTTGTGTCCATGAGGTTGAGAACGACACCAGAGCGTAACAGCCAGCTGGTGTCTGCATGGGAGAGAGGAAACCTCGAAGCCATTCTCAAGACTGCATGGACTGCCCTTCTTTATCGCTACACAGAATCCGAGGATATCTGTTTCGGTTACCAGCGCACCGGCGCAGAGGACTCGTTATCGGGTTCACTGCAGTCGACAGGAATTGCCAATATACCGGAGTTCAGACTTGCTGTAAACGAGGATGACTCTCTCAAGGCGACTATGAAGAAAGTGGAGGCCATGGGAAAGCCCACTACGGTCCAGAGCCTGTGCCGTGACACGAGCGCATGTTCTACCGGCTATCTTCTCTTCAATACCGTCCTGATGGTGCGGGAAGCGTCCTCTACAGGACGGGCCCAGGCAATCACTCTTCCCGAAGACGTATGTTCCAATATAACACTTACCTCATTGCAAAGCTAAATTGTTCTCTCAGTGTCGCGTCCGGGTTCAGGTGAAAATTCTGTCGCATGACATTGGCATCATTCTGGAGTGGTGGAACGATGACATGTCTACCGAACAAATGAGAAGTATTGCGAAATACTTTGAGCAACTACTGGACACTTTGATCTCCGCACAAGATGCCACCATGGGCGGCGCGTTGGGCCATATCTCTGAGCAAGATTGGGCGCGGTTGTGCGCGCTCAATGCGAGCCCACCGCGACGTCTCGATCAGTGTGTCCATGAAGTCATAGAGACACAAGCTGCTCTTAGACCCGACAAAGAGGCCGTGTGCGCCTGGGATGGGGACCTGACGTACAGAGAGTTGGATGATTTGGCCTCTCGGGTGGCATCTCTCCTCCAAGCACGAGGCGTTGGGCCAGAAGTTCGTGTGGGCCTTTGCTTGGATAAATCTGTGAGACTCCCTTTCTTTTCTTCCCCCCCCCCCCCCCCTCCTCCATAATCGCCCCCTCCATAATAATTTACTGATTATCTACCCTAGAAATGGAACGTGGTTGCAATGCTAGCTGTGATGAAGGCGGGGGGTGCCTTTGTCTCGCTCGACCCAACACACCCAATTTCACGTTTGCAGTCTTTAGTACAGTCTGCGGAAGCAAAGATCGTACTGTGCTCCAGAAATCATGTTGAGAATCTGGAAAATGTTGCAGAGATGTTGATGCCACTGGATGACAGTGTCCTGGACGCGCCACAGGAATCGCGCGGAAGAAATGTCTCATTGGCAAAAGTCCAGAGTAGCAACGCAGCCTATATAATCTTCACTTCAGGATCCACAGGACAGCCAAAGGTAATTCAGAAAGTGGACTCCTGGGTTGAATCTGGAAACCAGTTCTGACAGACCTAGGGTGCATTGCTCGAGCACGGAGCGTTCGTTTCGAGCGCTATGGCCTGGGCCCCAAAGCTGCACATCGATTCGCGTTCCCGAAGCTTGCAATTTGCGGCACACACGTTTGATGCATGCCTAGTTGAAATTCTAACTACGCTAATGCAAGGTGGATGCGTCTGCGTGCCGAGTGAAGAGGATCGTTTGAATGACATCGTGGAGGTCATTAACGGCATGAGAGTGAATTTCGCTCTTTTGACCCCTTCTTTTGTTGAATTTCTCGACTCGTCCGAGGTGCCAACCTTGGAGACGCTTGTGCTGGGTGGGGAGGCAATGTCTCCGTCACAACTGAGCACATGGTCAGTGCTGAACCTCGTCAATGCGTACGGACCTACGGAAGGTGCCGTTGTGTCTGTGGTCAATTCAAGCGTCACGCCATCTTCAGACTGCAAGGATATTGGTCTCCCTGTTGGCGTCCGCGCCTGGATAGTGCATCCCGATGATCATAACAAGCTCGTTCCTCTTGGCTGCCCCGGCGAGTTACTACTCGAGGGACCCACACTTGCTCGCTGTTATATCAACAATGTGCAAAAGACGAATGAAGCATTTGTTCATAGCCCAGATTGGGCGACAAGAGACGGCGCTCGTCCGTCTAGCTGGAGATTCTACAAGACTGGAGATTTGGTAAGGTATAACTCCGATGCTGGCTCATTAACGTATATAGGAAGAAAGGACACGCAAGTGAAGTTCCACGGCCAACGCATTGAGCTGGGAGAAATTGAGAATCAATTGAGCACAGAGGTAAAGGTCAAGCATTGCCTGGTGCTTTTCCCTAAGTCTGGGTTTGCGCAAGGCAAGCTGGTGGCAGTGTTTACATTGTCAGCGGAGTCCGACGATCCAGACAAGAGAAAAGTGCCATTGAAGCTTGTCGATCCATCGATGAGGCTTGAAGCAGTTGCTGAGCTTCGCCAAAACTTGTCCGCTCGTTTGCCAACATACATGGTCCCTTCGGTGTGGTTTTGTATCGAGGCCTTTCCCTTCCTCGCCTCCGGGAAGCTCGACAGGAAGTCAACCGCGAGCTGGGTGGCAGAAATGGAAAACGACTCGGAAACCCCATTCTTCGCAGCTGATCTTGAAACAAGCGAAGTCGTTGCTGAAACCACGACCCCAGTGACGGATCAACTAGCTTCCATCTGGAGTCGCGTTCTGAACATCCCACTAAGTCAAGTTGGCTTGGACAAGAGTTTCTTGAGTTTGGGCGGCGATTCCATTGCCGCACTGACATGTATCGGCTTTTGCAGGAAGCAGGGGATTGGCCTCACAGTGCAAGAGGTGCTCCGCAGCAAGTCCGTCAGGGAACTATCGACGCATGCGAAAAAATTCCACCAGGCAACTTCCTACCAAGAGCAGGTTGATGAGCCCTTCGACCTCTCGCCAATCCAGACACTCCATTATATGGTACGCCAGGAACACCAAGGACACTTCAACCAGAGCATTCTCACCCGCCTCAATCAAAAGGTCGATGTGCGTGATTTGCGACGGGCTGTTGAGACCCTCATCAGCCGTCATTCCATGCTGCGCGCTCGGTTGACCCCTGCCCACCATAAAGGCGATCTGCAACAAATGATTACTACCGATATTGCTGGTTCATACAGCTTGCAAACGCACAAAATTGTCCGCTTGGATGACAGCAAGGAATCGATTGCTCGAAGCCATTCAGCAATAGATGCTTCTGTCGGCCCATTGTTCGCAGTCGATTTGTTCCACGTTAGTGGAGATAACTCCTACTTGTCTCTTGTTGCTCACCATTTGGTGGTTGACATCGTTTCGTGGAGAATTATACTGGAGGATCTGGAGGATCTCATAATGAATCCTCACCAGTCCGAATCCGAAAACTGTTCTCTCCCATTCCAAACTTGGTGTCGCCTACAAAACGAGCAGTGTCGGGCAGCCTTGTCCGAAGGAAAGAACATTGATGTTATTCCGGCCCTTGATCTTGGTTACTGGGGAGTGAAGAACAGACTCCTGACATACGGGGATGTCGACTGTGAGACTTTCGAAATCGATGCGGGAACCACCAACTGCCTGCTAGTGGATTGCCACCAAAATCTTCAGACCGAGCCTGTCGACATTTTTCTAGCCGCGCTTCTCCATTCGTTTGGTCAAAGCTTTCGAGACAGGCCTACACCCGTGATTCATAATGAAGGCCACGGTAGAGAGGCATGGGATGCCACGATCGACATCTCGCGAACAATTGGTTGGTTCACCGTTCTACAACCGATCATGACGTCTGAATACGTCGGGGACGATCCGATAGATTCAGTCATACGTGTGAAGGACCTCCGTCGACGTGTAGCAGATCACGGCCGACACGACTTCGCGTGCCGTATGCTCCAGGGAAAAGACGACCTGAAAATTCGACACCATTGCCCTATGGAGATCTTGTTCAACTATGTCGGCCAGCACCGCGATCTTCAAAGACATGACGGTGTATTCCAACTCATGAGCCAAATGGCCGGAGAGTCGGGCAAAGGCGATCCGGCAGCTGACTTCGGGGAAGATACTCCGCGATTTGCGCTTTTTGAAATTTCCGCCATGGCCGTCCAAGGGAGACTTCGTTTTATCTTTACCTTCAACAGATACATGAACCATCAGGGAAAGATAAGGGATTGGATATCAAACTGTCGCCGGCTGCTCATGCATCTCGGGCCAAAATTACGCTCTCTCGCACCGAGACCTACTTTGAGCAGCTTTCCTATGCTATCCCTCAACTACGAGGAGCTTGAGGAAATAGTGTCGAAAAAGCTACCTAGAGTTGGGATCCAATCTCCAGAGCTTATCGAGGATATTTACCCCTGCTCTCGAATGCAGCAAGGCATTCTACTCGGCTACTCCCGAGATAACTCCCTATACGCCGTCAACGCCACATTCGAAGTGACGAGCTCCGCCATGCCAGTTGACGTTGACAAGCTTGCTCGTGCCTGGAAACAAATTGTTTCTTACCATGCGATGCTGCGATCGGTGTTCGTGGAGAACCTGACCACCCGCGAATTGTTCTTCCAAGTTGTCCTGAAGACATTCGACTCGCGCCCTTCTTATGTCAGGTGCACGGACGATAGTGATGTGCTAGAAACCCTGGACAAGCAGAACACTGCGAAATATGCCGCGAACCAGCCCCCTCACCGATTTACTATCTGCCAGACCGCCACTGGCAAGGTGTTTTTCCGGATCGAACTGAGCCATGCATCGATGGACGGAGCATCCATTCCAATCATACTCAATGATCTGCAGAGTGCATACAACGGAAACCTTGACAATGATAAAGACCACAAACCAACCTTCAAGAAGTTCATCCGCTATTTGGAAGACACAAAGCGGGACTCTGGCATCGACTATTGGTTCTCTTATCTGTCAAACATCCAGCCTTGCCATCTCCCCGTTCTGAATGATGGTCAAATCTCCGAAAAAGAGCTTCGAACTTTCAAACTGAGCTTCAAATCCTGTCGAGAACTCAAGAAGTCCTGTGAGAATAATGGGTTGACTTTGTCGACTGTATTCAGAACTGCCTGGGGGCTGACGCTTCGTTCCTTCACCAACTCGGATGACGTATGTTTTGGCTACACAGCATCCTTGAGAGACGTTCCCGTGGATGATGTAGACTCCATTGTTGGCCCAGTAGTCAATCTCTTGGCCTGCCGAATGAATGTGTCTGGGAATACCCTCCTCCGAGAAGCCTTGTACGAAGTTCAAGACAACTATATGGAAAGCTTGCCATACAGGCATTGCTCGCTCATCGATATCCAACACGCTTTGAAGCTCTCAGATACTGCCTTGTTCAACACGACCATATCCTACCGGAGACTTCCAAGCGAGAAAGCTGAGCGCAAGAATGGCATACAATTCCGAGAAACTTCGAAACATGATCCTGCAGAGTTCCCTGTCTTTGTCAACGTTGAAGTCTCTGATACTGATGCCGACATTGAGATGAATTATTGGACAGACACCATATCGGACGGTCAAGCTATGAGTGTGGCTAGCACCTTTCTCAAGTCCCTCGAGAACATCATTCACTACCAAGACAAAGAGATCGGCAAGATAGATGCTCTGAGTGACTCAGACATACGGCAGGTAGCAGCATGGAATAGTCATATTCCACGACCTGCTGGTAAATGTGTCCAAGAGATTATCCAAGAGAACACCAATGCGCACGGACATACTCTCGCAATATCCGCCGGTGATGTGAATTTGACCTATTCCAAACTCCATGCAATGTCTACCAGCCTTGCAGCCTACTTGGAAAAACTCGGCGTGGGAGAGGGCGTTCTCGTACCGATTGATATGGAGAAATCTGCCTGGCAGGCTGTTACCATTCTGGCTGTCTTCAAAGCAGGAGGAATAAGTGTTCCAATTCCCGACTCGCAGCCCCCATATTTCTCCAAGGATTGGTTCAAGGACAACGATATTCAAGTTGTTCTCGCCTCCCCGCAAAAAGTTCAAGCCTATGAAGGCGTGATCCCCAATGTTATCCCTATTGACGGACCTCTGTTCAAGTATCTTCCTCGACACCACCGTCACTTCCAGCCCCGCTCGCTGCCTTCCCATGATGCCTACGTAATCCTCACTACTGGGGGCTCTTCTATCGCAAAGGCCGTAGTGCTCAAGCACAATACGGTTCTCATGCGAGCGGAGGCGCTCGCCTCAACTCTTGATCTAAGCTCAGCGACGAGGATGTTCCTGTTCTCTTCCTATACATTTGATATGTTCCTCCAGGAACTATTCGGTACATTGATTCGCGGAGGCTGTGTATGCTTTCCGTCGGATAACGATCCCGCGCATCTACCAGTGAATATCAATGTATCAAAAGCGAATACTCTCTGCCTCACACCTTCAGCTGCGTCTGTCATTGACCCATTCGAAATCACCCATGTTCAAAAGCTGGCTGTGTACGGTGAATGCTTGCCCACAAAGGTTCGTGACATATGGTCGCCGAAAGTCCGACTTTACACCTTCTTTGGCGCAGCTGAATGCTCCTCAACTTGCATCTACGACTCAGACCCAGCAAAAGAGGTCTCGAATTTTGTATCCAATGCTGCCTGTGGTGTATGGCTCGTCAATCCTTCGAACCACAACTATCTTGTTCCCATTGGATGTATTGGTGAGGTTGTGATAGAAGGGCCAATTCTGTCTGAGACCTATCTCTTCAATGAAGATAATGCCAAATCGGGGCTGATCAAGGACCCTACGTGGAGCCTAGACATGGAAAGGCAGCGCCCTGGTAAAAGAAACGCCACCACGACCTCTTCGAAATCAACGCGATGGATGTTCAAGACAGGAGATTTGGCCCGATTCAATTCCGATGGGACCCTGATCTACCTCGGCAACAAGAACGGGATGGTCAAGATGCAGAGAGAAACCGTATGCATTGAGCAACGTGTCAACGGTTTCCTATCGCCTGATGCACATTGTGCGGTGGAATTGGTCGAGGTCTCTAGCAGACTGGATACCACGGAACATTTAATTGTGTTTGTGCTGTCTGGTGCTTCCGTTGCCTCTGAGATGGATAAGCATCATCAATTGATCACCCAACCGTCGTCTGAATTCCGCAAGCTCGTGGCAGAAATGCACACTAAGGTATCGAAGACGTTACCCGCGGACCAAACCCCACAGTTTTACTTACCAGTGCCCAAGATGCCGCTTACAGCTTCGGGTATACTGGACCGGGAAGCGCTACGAGAAGCAGTTCGAAACCTGTCAAGGACAGATCAAACGGCACTGGAGACATACGCACCCTCCAAATTTTCGCAAATCAATATTGTCAATGGGGATTTTGAGACAGAGAGTGTCAAAGAACAATCTATCTTCCAAAAGACAACAACCAAGAAGGCAACCAAGTCGGAAGAAAGCGTGGAAAAGACCCTCCGAAGCGTATGGGAGGAAGCATTGGGACTAGAACCAGGCTCCGTCAATGCCGAAGACAGCTTCTTCAGACTGGGTGGCGACTCCGTTACTGCCATGAAGATTGTTGGGACTTTGTACTCACGCGGCATTTCCCTTACTGTTGCCAGTATCTACAAATTTCCAGTCTTGATGGAAATGGCAGATAATTGCGAGCGCCTGAGTAGCGATTCGGATACGACGACCGCGGAGCAATTTGACCTCTTGCCTACCTCGCTGGCCCGGGACGAGGTTGTGGAAGAGGTCGCCGATCAATGTGAGGTCGAGGAGGATTCGATATACGATGCGTACCCCTGCAGTGCCGTTCAAGAAGGGCTTATCACGATGTCTCTGAAGCAAAGAGGGGCCTATCTCGCTCGGCCTGTATTCCGGCTCACAGAAAAGGTCGACATCCAGCAGTTCCAATACGCCTGGCAGCAAGCTGTGAATGAGTTGGAAATTTTGAGGACCCGCATCGTGCATACAGACTCTTCCACGTTCGTTCAAGCTGTTTTAGACGAAGAGTTGATTGATTGGGACTTCAAAGCGACACTCGAGGAAGCCATGGATGATGCAGTGAACTTACCAGAGCACAACGGGGGAAGGCTCACAGACTACACGATTGTCAGCTCCGAAGCCTCGCGTGAACGATACTTCATCTGGACCATCCATCATGCGCTTTACGATGGTTGGAGCATGGGTCTCGTTCTTAAACGAGTAGAGGAAATCTATTCGGGATTTCCGGCTGAAGCCCCAGTGCTTCCATACAAGCTTTTTGTTAAGCATCTGCTGGAGCGAGATATCTCCGAGTCGGACAATTTTTGGAAGTCCCATCTCTCTGGTTTATCCTGCTCTCCTTTCCCTAAGCCCAAGCCGTCCTCGTCGGACGCTGGCCGTGTGGGCAACAAGCACCGCTGCAGCATGGCAATCATCAGAGGATCCAATCCTGTGGATCTGAGTATACCTGAGTTGATACGTGCAGCTTGGGCTCTTGTTGTTTCCACCCAGTCAGGATCTACTGATGTTTGCTTTGGTGAAACATTGACGGGACGAAATATCCATCTGTCTGGTGTGACTAACGTGGTAGGCCCAGTCCTCACCACAGCACCCACGCGTATCCAAGTCGAAAACGATCTTCCGATCGCTCAATATCTGGAAAATGTACGGCAACTCACGACGTCGATGATCTCCCACCAGCATTCTGGGCTCCAGCAAATCAGAAAACTAAGCAATGATACAGCTCTTGCTTGCGAATTCCAGAATTTGCTCGCCATTCAGATTAGCGGGGACCAGTTTTATGGAGATTTGTGGTCGCCTGAAGATTGCGAGACAAACGAGGACTTCCTCACACACCCGCTGGTAGTCGAGTGCGAGGTTGGTGACTCACAATTGGAGATCACGGCACATCATGACGAGACCATCATGAACAGCTGGCAGATCAAGAACGTCATGAACCAATTCTGTTACGTTCTGAAGCAGTTCTTTTCACTCTCAAAGAGTGAAGATCGAAGCGTGGGATCTATTGAATTATGCAGTCCTGCCGACAGAGACCAAATCGCAACATGGAACAAGCGAGAACTCTTCAAACTTGACAGATGCATCCACCATGTTATCGAAGAGAGATACCTGGCCCAGCCTCAGTCACCGGCAATTTGCGCCTGGGATGGCCGGCTTTCCTATCGGGAACTGTACCAACTCGCTACAACCTTCGCGACCTATCTCAGCTCTCGTGGCGTTGGCCCCGAAACAATGGTACCAGTGTGCCTGGACAAATCCCTATGGGCCGTGGTAACGATAGTCGCCATTTTGATTTCCGGTGGAGCATTCGTCCCGTTGGACCCTTCTCACCCAACTTCAAGACACAAAGAAATCATGGAGGAAGTGGACGCGCAAATTGTGTGCTGTTCTCCACAGCACCAAGGTCGCTACTCGGGATTCATGCCAACAGTAATCCCAGTCAGCAAAGATACAATCAAAGCCTATAGCAGTCTCGTGTCCGGCATGGAAGGTCGAAAGAGTGTTACCCCCTCTAACGTGGCGTACGCCATTTTCACCTCGGGGAGCACTGGCCGGCCCAAGGGAATTCTAATTGATCACCGAGCGATAGTGAGCAGTATTATGGGTTTTGCGCCCATTCTAAATATCAGCAAAAAGACGAGAGCCTTCCATTTTGCGTCGCTTACGTTTGACGCGGCCATCGTGGAGATCTTCGCCACACTGATGCTTGGTGGCTGTACGTGCATTCCCAGTGAAGAAGAGCGCTTGAATGATGTCGCCGGTGCGATTCGCCGAATGAACGTTACGTGGTCGCTTTTGACTCCTTCCATTGCCGATATCCTCGAACCGTCAACAGTTCCTACCCTGAAAGTGCTAGTGTGTGGTGGAGAAAAATTGTCACAGGAAGTGGTCAAGAAGTGGGCTCACCGCGTGAAGCTGATGAATGCCTACGGCCCAACAGAGACGGCTATAGTTGCAGTTATGGACCCAGATGTTTCACCAGACCATGACGGTTCTCGCATCGGTTTTGGAATTCCGTCCACCTTGACGTGGGTGGTTGACCCTGAGAACCACGATCGACTTACACCTTTAGGGGCTGTTGGCGAATTGGCAATGGAAGGACCAACCCTCGCTAGAGAATATCTCAAGAACCCCGAGAAGACAGCAGAGGCTTTTGTGTATGAGCCAGCATGGATGAAACTCTTCCCCCGTTCTCTGCCTTCTCCGCGGAGGATATACAAATCAGGAGACCTTGTCAGATACAATCACGACGGATCCATCGAGTACCTTGGCCGAAAAGATTACCAAGTCAAACTGCAGGGCCAACGCATGGAGCTCGGAGAGATAGAGCGTCGCTTGCAAGCTGACCCCCGCATCCATCACGCTGTCGTCATCTTGCCGAAGGCAGGGCCGCTCCAAAAACGGCTCGTTACCGTGCTCACTTTGAACTCGTTGCCGTCGAACAGAAGCTTGTCTCTAGATGACACCTGTGAGCTTATAGACCGAGATAGCTTCGCAAAAACTGCGTTCCATGAGCTGGTTGCGATCCAGAAGAGCCTCGAAGCCCAGTTGCCAGTTTACATGGTCCCGCAAACTTGGGCGGTCATGAAGAAACTCCCAATGCTCGTATCTGGAAAGTTGAATAGAAAGAGAGTCACAACTTGGCTTGAATCTGCTGACGATGCTACTCATAAACGCATTATGGCAGACTATGACGCTATCAAGCGAGGCAACATCGAGCCGAGAGAGGAGGAAGACCGTACATCTACTGTTCAGTCGCTTCGAGACATTTTCGCACAAGTTCTCAATCTTCCCAATGAGAAGGTCGACCTCAATCGCTCATTCGTCAGCATGGGTAAGTGTGATTCACATAACTTTACCGAGGACAAGTGCTGATCTCTTGATTTAGGCGGTGATAGCATCAGCGGGATTGGAGTCATTTCCAAAGCTCGCAAGCTTGGGCTTGTTCTGACCCTTGACAATGTGCTTCGAAGCAAATCAATCGAGGAGCTTGCTCGATCAGCTGCTGCTAAGGCACTAGTTGCTCGAGTGAAAGAGAAGGCCGGCGAGTACTTTGCACTCTCGCCAATTCAACGCCTGTACTTCCAATCTGCGAGCTCTTACGAGGGCGCGAGTCGCTTCAACCAAAGTATTACGGTCCAGATTAACCGAGATATAAAGCCCGAGGTTGTACAGAATGCCGTCCACGCTGTGGTCAAGCAGCACGTAATGTTTAGGGCGCGGTTCAGCAAAGGGAAAGGTGGGCAGTGGCAACAGAGGACGATGGAGGTACGTCCAAGCTCTCCTAGCATTTGGCTATGATTGAATCTAACGGCTTTATAGAATGTTGGGTCATGCTACAAATTCAGCGTGCATTCGATCGATGACCCTAGTGAAAGGCTGCCTATGATTGCGAAAACCCAGAGTTCTCTCAACATCCAAACCGGTCCTATTTTTGTAGCAGACTTATTCAAAATCCGCGGCGGAAAGCAGATTATTTTCCTGGTTGCAAACCATCTGGTCGTTGACGTTGTTTCCTGGCGGATCGTCTTACAAGATCTGCAAGATTTCATCGAGTCTGGATCTCTCTCTCCAGAAAAGTCGCTGTCTTTCCAGGGCTGGTGTGACCTCCAAAAGGAACATGTCAAGAAAGAGAACACGCAGCTCCCATTTTCTGTGAAAACGCCGGACTTGAAGTACTGGGGAATGGACAATAGGCCAAATGTTTATGGCCAAACCAAGACGGAGAATTTTACCCTCGGAGAGAAAGCCACTAACCTAATTCTCGGAGGGTGTAACGACGTCCTTCGCACCGAGACAATCGACCTATTGCTTGCAGCTGTTGCTCACTCGTTCAAACGTGTGTTCACTGATAGAAGGAGTCCGACGATACACAACGAAGGTCATGGTCGTGAACCTTGGGATTCCAGTATCGATCTGTCGCGGACGGTTGGCTGGTTTACCACATTGACACCGTTGCACGTGGAAGGGGGTCCAGGTAAGATACTTCACGCTTAAGGCCAATTAATGAGCTGCATAATAACATTTATGCAGATATTCTCCATACTCTGAAGCGCGTGAAGGATATGAGGCGCAAAGTCGCGAGCGACAACCGCTACTACTTTGCTCAAAACCTTCTTCACTCCAAGAAACCAAACTTCCCCGCTCCGGTAGAGATGATGTTCAACTATCTTGGTCAGCTACAGCAACTGGAAAGCAAATCGTCTCTATTCTCTCAATATGGAGACCTTCTTGACGTCCAACTCTCAGAAGGGTTCAGTGACATAGGCCTGAATACACCGCGATTTGCGCTTCTAGAGGTATCGGCCATTGTTCTGAGTTCCAAGCTCCACATGTCATTCAGATACAACACGAATATGCGACACCAGCAGAAGATCCGAGACTGGGCATACCAATGCAAGCAGGTGTTTGAGGAAGACATCCTCAATCTCAAGGACTTCGTGCCAGAGCCCACACTCAGTGACTACCCTTTGCTATCAATCACTTACGACAGCCTGAATAGAATGATGAAGAACACGCTTCCTAGAGTGGGTATCCGAAGCTGGGATGTGGTCGAAGACATCTACCCATGTACACCTGTCCAGGAGGGTATCCTACTGAACCAGCTTCGGAATCCACGTGGTTACATGTTTAGTGGGATTTACGAGGCGCATAACCTCGGAGGCGGCGGCAAAATAGACTCGAAGCGTCTCCGGAAAGCTTGGGCGATGGTCGTTGCAAGACACCCTGTACTACGAACTTTGTTCATTGATGCTAGTTATCGAGGCGGCTCATTCGATCAAGTGGTGGTCAAAGATTTGGATGATGATGTCTTTGAAATCAATTCGAGCGACTCGGACGCGTGTGACTTGCTCGAAAAGGTTGATCACTTGAGCATGAGCAATAAGCGGCCTTTCAAAGTACCACAACAGCTGACTATTTGCACATCGTCCTCCGAAAGGGTTTGGATCAAAGTGGAGGGTAGCAATACCATCATCGACGGCGGATCGATTGATATACTTCTCAGAGATTTGGCTCTTGCGTACAACAATCAGCTTCCTGCAGGGCCGGGGCCACTATTCAGCGATTACATCAAGCACATCAAAAGTCGGACTGAAGAAGAGACTTTGAAGAACTGGACCAGATATTTGTCTGGAGTGCGTCCTTGCCACCTATCAACTCCCTCCGAGACACGCAAAGATCGCCAGCAGCGTTCGTTCATGATTGATTTCAGCAGGTTCCACGAATTGCACAGTTTCTGCGAGAAAAACTCAATCACTATGTCGAATATTACCCTATCGGCTTGGGCCATTGTCCTGCGGAGTTTTACCGATTCCGACGACATCTGCTTTGGTTACCCGTCTGCTGGGCGGGATTCCTCAGTGCCCGGCATACAAGATGCGGTGGGAGTTTTCATCAACATGCTTTGCTGCAGAGTCAGATTTGCCGCTGACCAGTCACTTCTCGATATTTCGAACTGCGTACAAGACGATTACATTCGGAACCTGCCACACCAGAACTGCTCGCTAGCTCAAATTCAGCATGAGATCGGGCACCAGGGCCAGATGCTGTTCGATTCGGTTCTTTCGATACAAAACCACACTTTCCAAAGAGGTTCCACCGAAGAAGGGATAACGTTTGAGTATAAAAAGGGGCATGATCCGAGCGAGGTGAGTCATGGTCCATCTTTCCAAATGGAATATTAGAGTCTAACAACTGTACCAGTATCCTGTAACTTTGAGTGTCGACATCGCCAAGGGTCATGAGAGGATCTTGCTCAGATACTGGACAGACACCGTATCTGACGACCGAGCAAGACTTTTGGCTAACGCTGTTTGCAAGGTCTTTACATCATTTATCGACAGGCCGTCTGAGAAAGTTTCAGACCTGGTAATCAAGGGCGAGCTGTCGAGACCATCTCTACCATCCCAAACACAACTGTCAAGTGAACCTCAAGATGGGGATGGCTTAATTGAGAACACTGTTAATAGGGAGCTATTGCAGAATTTGATCGACAACCGGGTGAATAAGATAATCGGCCATATGATTGAGGGAGGGAAGTTGGCTACACCATCTGCGCAGAATCAAATGACAACACAGGCACAAGATGGAAGCCCGGTCAATACCAAGTTAATCTCCAGGAAACAACACTCATCGGAACCGACTCCAGCTCCCACAAATGACAGTGAGGATCCAAGCAACAGAGACCTTAACGATGAGAAACTAGCCGAGCAGCAAGTCAGGGAGATAACCCTCTCTCGGACGGTCTCGTCTGAGAAGATGTCAGTCCTACGGCCAACAAATCTTGACAATGATATTTTGGAGGCAGGAATTTGCCCCAAGATTGGAGTCTTCAGAAGTGGCATCGCCGGTATCTTTCCTGTCACAGATTTTCAAGCTTTCGCCATAACCGGAAGCCTCTTCGAATCAAGATGGATGCTGAACTACGTCTATATGGATGGAAAGGGGCCACTGGACCTAAAGAGGCTGAGGGAAAGCTTTATGAGGGTAGTCGACTCGTTCGATATACTTCGCACTACTTTCGTCTGTTTCTATGGCCAATTCTTCCAGGTGGTGCTCAAGAAACTTCGACCGGAAATCTTTGTCAGGGAGACAGAGAAGAGCTTGGACGAGTATACCGAATTACTACGACAGAAGGACCGCGAAGAGAAATCACGACAAGGCCAGCAATATTTGCAGTTCTATGTAGTGAAGAAGAAGAAGTCGGATGAACATCGCATTTTGATGCGCTTGTCGCACGCTCAATATGACGGAATGTGCATGGGACGGATCCTATCTGCCATCAAGACAGGATACGAAGGCAGTCCCCTTCCTCCGGCTTCCACATTTTCGAGCTATATGCGCTTACTTCCTGGGTCAATCACGTCGGAACACTATGAGTACTGGGCTACACTTCTCAAGGGATCTCGTATGACAGAAGTCATTCGGAGAGAAAGGCCCAATACTTTCAACTACATGGGGGCTTTGACAGAACAGAAGAAAACAATCGAAATCAAGGCCAGCACCCTTGGAAATGTTACAGTCGCAACAGCCATGCAGGCGGCGTGGGCTATGACACTGGCAAGATTATCCGCTTCATCTGACGTGGTCTTCGGCCTCACAATAAACGGCAGAAATGCTACAGTCCCCGGTGTCGATACGACCGTTGGCCCATGTCTCAACTTAATCCCTGTCCGAGTTAATTTCCTACAGCGCTGGACTGGGCTTGACCTCTTCCGCTATCTCCAGGACCAGCAATTCGCTAACATGCCTTACGAGTCGTTGGGATTCAGGGAGATTATCCGACGCTGCACCGACTGGCCTGGTTCGACCTTTTTCAGTACTACAGTCTTCCACCAGAACCTCTCACTGGGAGAGCACATGGAGCTGGATGACAACATCTACGACCTGGGCGGTGCTGGCGTTGACGACAATCTCTCGGATTTCCGTCTGGCCTCAACATCCAACCAGGACAAGATTGATATCTCCCTCGCCTACTCCCACAGTGGCCCTATCACTTCCACTTTCGCCACCAAAGTTCTTGATATGGTCTGCGAGAATGCACAGAACCTCATCAACAACCCTAACGCCACCCTTCCATCACCCAATACACTCCGCTCCCTACCCAGCCAGATCGTCTCCGACAAGGTCCAAATCTCCGACGAGCAATTCCTCACCGCGGAACTCAACAACCGCAGCATCTCTGAGATCCTCGTCCACAGTGACATTCTCACCCGTATCTGGAAGCAGGTACTCCCTCGCAAAGATCGGTCCACGAGCCCGCAGTTCTACTTCCACTCCTCCTTCTTCGAGCTTGGCGGTGACATCGTCAACATGGGCCAGGTACTTTGGCTGCTTGAACAGGAGGGTCTCCACGTGCGCTTCGAGGAGCTCCTAGAACATCCAACCTTCCTAGGCCAGATGGGCGTTCTAGCGTTGAATTACCCGAAAGAACAGAGCGCCATGATCGAAGACCAGCGCCCTGTCCAGCAAGTTACTACTGCAGATGTGACGGGTATTGTTAAAGGGGTGCCTGCTTCGGGACCTCTTGGCAAGGCTATGACGTTGGCTAGGAGATTTACCAAATGGAGTACTGTTTCGAGTAAGGGGTGAGCTGGATGGTGTCTTGATCACTATGCTTGGGATGTTTTCTTTGCTTGATACTTATGCATATTTCATTCTTTGACGATTTATACGTTCTTTTGTTCATTACCTGTTATGTACAGCTTCTGCATGCTGTTTTCTGTTGTCTTTTCTATCTCAAACTGTGCCGCACTGGATGTTCTTTTGTACTTAGTTACCAACTGCATATCAAACAAGTTTATTTTCTAAAACATACAGTTATACGTACCAGGGATCTATATTCACTAAGCCGGCTGGTGTTGATAGACTGAATAAGATCCCTATCGACCATCGGTGTGTTGTTAGAAACGCAGGACGCGGTCTAACAAAAGTTCTGCAAGCCCTACAGCGGCGCAGGCCATGTGGCAAACATATAGGGGAGCCTGGGGGTGCTCAGCCAAGAATGGCTGGGCATCGTGGCCTTTTGATCTAGTGGCAAAGCGCGTACCCCAGAGTGTGCTATAACGTGTGTGCTGAGACTGCAATCGATTGACTAGTCAGCTGACCTGCAATGATCCTTTCTGACACATTTGATCATCTTTTATTTAACAATCTGCAGCTTTTTCATAGGATTCAATAGTATCGATTTCATCCTTTCTGACCGTTTTTCATCGCTTATTTCCACGGTATCAAAGTAGCCGATTTCGGAGAAACGTGCAAAATGACTGCTGTACATAATGTGTAATACTGAATGGAATTGCCGGACCAACTCCTCTGGCATGTAGTCAATTTTCCTGTCTATCAACGCCTAGTATGCTGCGTAGGTGATAACAAGCCTTGGCGATCGCCCGCCTCCCGCTCCACCCTCTCCACCCGTCCCGCCGGGGCCCCACAACTATACCTGCACTGTACATACTACATGGTAAGGCGAAGCTATTCTACACCTTGGGTTCTATAGATATACCCCCAGGCCATTATGCTATGCTGGTAGTATTGCATGCTGCTCACAGCCAACGAGCTCCTCCGCCGTAATATTCAGATGCAACCCGAAGATATCCTTCTTCAGGGAAGATAAATCACTTGATCAAAGCTCCCCACGCGAATATCAACTGATATTCTCACGCGTCCAAAGAAAATGGCCACATATTCCGAGCATCATCATCCGGAGCTTTGTCAGGACCCATTTTCGCAACATAGTAGTCAAAAAACATCATATTCCTCGCCTTTACTTCGCCCAGATCACGCTCCGGAGGAATCCAGCCATCGTCATTCGTATCAAGCATTTCTTTAACAAATTCGCGTGTCTCGTGAAATTCTCGTGTCTCGTAAAATTATCTGTATGTCTTGAGCTTCTGAACATAAAGTGCAACCTATTCGTTTGTAAAACAAATCGGTAAACTCCCCTCTTCAAACCCCAAATCGTCTTGACTACGAACGATCTCGAGTATCGCCTCCCGAAGAGGAACTATCCCCTCATCCCAAGTCGTACCACAGCGACGGAATAGTCCCTTGAGTGGATCGGGGACCTGCATTTCTTGCCAAGCTTTTCGGTTGTTCAAATACGTGGCGATTTCGTAAGCCTTCTTGCAAGAAAAAGGGACTGATGGAGCTGTGTTGCCAGTCGATAAAACCTGTTACGTTTGACGGGTCGTCTTCGGCGACGAAGATGTTGCCCATGTGGAGATCAGTGTACCATAGTGTGGGTTGAGACGAACCGAGGAGATAGGGGTAATTCGCCACGGCTGGTATGATCTCTTTGGCCATGTTAAGGATTAAGGAGTGCTCCTCTGGGTTGCCTCTTATAGAGGCTGGTATTTTGGGTTGAGATCTTCTACAGATTGAAGTGAGCGGTTGGTTAGAGACTCGCCCAGGTCGTTGATTATTTTCCCTATAGTAGGAAATTAGTAGTAATATGTCCTAGACAAGGAAGCAATTCCTGCAAGGACCGTAATGACCAGGAGAGCCATGATGTATAGGCCAGGAAGCACACGAAGGACCAACGCAAAATACACCTTCAGGGTCCACGGACCGGTCCAACAATGTCAATTCGCCATCTTTCAGGGGACGTTTGCGATAAAGGCTGCCAGAAGCGGGAAAACAAAACCCAGAAAGCTCACATTTCCATTTCATGAGACGTTTGATAAAGGATAATCGACGACTCTCGCCCATTTCCTCCCACGTTTCGAAGAGCTGAACCCCCGAGACTCGCTCCATTATGATTTTTTAGCGCCGAATGGGTTTGTTGAATCGGTGCTCCATGTAAGAACTCTGGGAATAGGAATTGTGATATGTTTCCTTACCATGTAAGGAAACAAACTGGCTTGGGTATTACCGGCATTAGAGAGTATCTTACCAAAGTCTAGAACAGCAACTTCGGACGCTGTGCAGTACATAGGTTTTCCTGCGTTCAGGCACGGCATCTTGACGATGTATGAAGACCCGTCCACCGTCTTCATGAGAAGAGCCTTGCTAAAGCCGCCTTCCATTTTTTCTATCGTTGAAACCGGCTGTGTACCAATTCCTGAGATATGTGCGATCACATCGCATAACCGATCGACGTCAAATTGAACAAAGCATTTTGATCGCTGATTTTCTTTCTCGGCGAGGAATCGGCCATTCGTGTATTTGAAAAAGTCCTCTTTGCAGATCGGATTGCCTATCATGTAATTAGTACTTTCTTGTTCGGGATATTTGTACGAGAGGGTATACCTCGAAATGTGATTGAAAGGTACCTCACTGGTACCCTGAAACCCAGATTCCTACCCCACGGCTTTCCGAGCTTTAGAAGACTGGTCTTATGGACGGTACAAGACGCAGTCAACAATTGAGGAGCGATACATCTTTGATTATCCTCAGGCAAAGCTCCTTCACCGCCCCTAAGCCCTTCTCCCTTCTTTTCATTCTGAAGCGTTGCATAAACTCAATGTAACGCATCAGGCGAAAGCCATTACCCGGATTAATCGAAAAAAGACGCCAACACAAGGCCGTCAAACGACATCCCCAATACTAACTACACCGACCAATAAGCCCCCCGATCAAGCTCCAACGGCACCTTCTCCGGCCACAACGTCCGAACGGCGGCCTTGAGCGCCTCCACCTGGCCACCATCCCCAACAACCCCACACCTCAAAAACAGCTCCACCATTTCCGTAACCCAAAACCTACAGCCCACTCCCCTCTCATCAAACTCATATCTATGGCGGCCGTTCTCAATAAGCAGATCTACAACATCCCGCACAAACAGGGGTCGTCTGTCCGACGCGACATCCAAAACAAAGGTTTCTTCGACATCAGTGGAGACGAGGCGGTCGAGGCTGGAGATGACGATGTTGGCTTTGGAGCCGCCTGGGAGGACGGTGCTTGGGACGGAGTAGCTGGGGAGGCAGTCGAGTTGGATGGAGGTTGTTGGGGAGGTCGCTAGGTAGAAGCACCAGTGGTTTGTGCCGGCTTCTTGGTGGTGCGGGGCGGCGAGGATCTGTTGGATGGGGAGGGAGAGAATGCGTTTTTCTTGGGATTTGGGGATGAAGTGGATTGGTTGGTGTGGGGGTGGCATGGCTATGGGGTTTTGAACGTCGGCGTTGAATGGGGTGGAATTTTGTTGATGTGCTGGAGTGGTTGAGTAGAAGGTACCTAAGGTATACATGGCCATGGGCTGATTGGGTGGGAGTAGTCTGCGGCTACAGGTACACCCACCGTAGTACATCCCACACTGCCAGTCAGTCTGCTCTATACATTAGGGTGACATGCAAGGTACGTGACTTCAGAATGACATTAGAGTAGTAGTTAATTACACCTCGATCACAACCTATGCAAGAAATTTGTGTACAGTTACCATTAATGCCAAACAGTGGTATCTCATCGTCATGACCGAGCCTGCATCACACGTGATTAAGATAGGGAGAAAGACAAAGAAAAAAAATTCAGGGTATAATGAGCGAAACACATATCATAAAGCCAGCCCACAAGACAATCGCTGACGCACCTGCACCGGGGAAAACTATTATCAGTGGCCTTGTTATTTCATTACTTTTTGTCACTTGTCTCTCCAATGCGAGTGGCAAGAACCTAACTCCCATAAACAGAAGCCTGAGACCATTTCCCCCTGGCGCGAATGCGCTTCCCGAATATATAAAACAAAAACGGGATCGGAATCAGCGCCACGGCACAAAAGCCCAGGATACTAGACGCCCAGTTTACGCCAAGACGACGATACATGATGCTCGTGAACAGCGGGAAGCAGCCTGCGAACAGACTGCGCAGGAAGGTATTAGCCGCGACGGCGCTGGCGGCGACAGCCTGGAAGGTATCAATGAGGTAGTTGAGGGCCGCCTGGAAGATTGTGAAGAAGCCGAGGCCCATGAGGACGGCGCCGATGTTAGGCGCGATCCAGTGGATGTCTGGGCGGCCGGTCCAGCCGAAGACGAAGAGGCCTGCGGCGAAGACGACGGAGCCGAGCATCATGGGCGGGAGACGGGCTTCGGGGACGGGGAAGTTGTTGTTTTGTTTAAAGCGGGAGATGTAGAATTTCTGGTTGTAGAGGTTGACGCAGGCGCCCATGAGGATGCCGACGAGGTAGGCGAGGAAGGGGAGTGCGCCGACAACTTGGTTCCAGCCGCGGACTTCTTGAAATTCGACGGGGAAGGAGGCCAGACTGAGGTAGAGGATGCCGTAGACGAAGGAGGCGTAGAGAGCGACGAGGAAGCAGATTGGTGTTGCGAGGAGGGCGAATGGGCGGATTAGGTACTTGTTGCCGAGTTCTTTGAGAGTCACGTCCCACTCTTCGTGGCGTGCGTGAAGGGCCCAGTTGCCGCTTTCGAAGCGGAGTCTCTGCGCTTTGTAGACTAGGAGGACGGGGGGATAGCTCTCGTCGAGAAAGATGACGTCCATGGCGAGGAAGAACATCATCATAATTCCGGTGATCTAGGTGGGTAGTGAGCATTGTTGCCATGCGATGTATGAACCGGCCAACGTACATATTGGGTCCATCTCCAGCCAAGGTAGCTCTGACAGATCGCGCCACCCACAATGGGACCCAGCACTGGCCCGCCGACAACGGCCATTGCATACCCCACGATAGCAGCTCCTCGCTGCTCCGCGGTCCAAATATCGCCCAACACGCCACCCGTGTTTGTTACCGGCGCGGAGCCAAAGAAACCAGTGAAGAACCGGGTGATCATGAGCGTTTGGGTATCCTTGGCCGTTGCGGAGCCGAAGGAGAATATCGCAGCGACGAAGTAAGGCATCAACACAGCGGGTTTACGTCCATAAACCTCGGAGAGTGGGGCCCATACAAGAGGTCCCAGTCCTATGACGATCATTAGACAACAGAAACAAAGCATCGATCAAGATGGCACATACCGAAGCCAAAGAGTAGCAACGCGGTACCTAATGTCGATGGTACCTCACCAATGCGGAACTCCGACATGACCTGCTGGGTACCTGTTGAGTAACTAGAGACGTCAATTGATATGCGCAAGGAAAGATAAAAACGTGGAAATAGTGTCCCTACATTGAACTAGCCCACGTAGCACCTATATGTATAAATTAGCCGTTGTACGCGACAGAGCCAAGTCAGCAATACATACCCATCGTAGTCAGACCATATAGCAACGTAGTAATACACTTTTTCTTGAAAGCCCAATTAAGTGGTTTATAAGGATCATCAGGCCCATCAAAATCCACAATTACATCTTCCGTAGTTTTGGTATTCGTTAGAGGGTGCGTAAACCGTGCAGTTTGACCAGGCTCCCGACTCCGGATTCCCGAGAGTATCGAAGTTGCGCGGCGCTCAAGCGCTGAGAAACCTGAGGTCGCCGTGCTGTGCTTCTCTAACGGTTGGATTGGGACGCCATCGTCGTGGATGTGCTGCTGCTCCAAGGAAGAGATATCATCGGTGGAGGACCGGGAGGAATGTCGGCGATTTTCAGCCATGACCTCATTGGTATATCGTATCGTTGCGCCAAAGAAAAAAAGACTCTAAATCGCTTTTTTGTTCCACATGAAGTGCTTCCCAATTGAATTCTTAACAGGGAGAAAGAAACAATGCGACAAGAAATTAAAATAAAAATTAAATAAAAGTTGAAACTGATCCACTCAAAGAAACCCGGGGAAGAGTGAACACCCGGAGAGCAAGCCGAAAAGCTTCGAACGCGAACTCAGGGTGAAGATGCCTCCCTGACGAATCAGCGAGACAATAAAAAAACAAATAATAGAGATAAAAGATGGTTCGAACTCCTTAACAGAACCAAGCATTCGCTATAAACAGGAACTAGAGCTTATAAGAGGGTGACCAGTGACCACAGGATTAGGAATGCTTGAAAAGCCGTCTTAGCCGGGCGACATCCGCCCTGCCCAGTCGGATGTCCGAACGAGCTCTTGCCTTCGATCTATTTTTCGATCCGTTTATGCACTTGCGCGATGTCATGCCGATATTTCATCTCATCGGCATTCCAAAGATAGTAATAGTCAAGACAATTGGCGCAGCGAACAAGCGCAACCCACGTATTCTCTTTCACGTTTCAACCCCGAGAGCTGCTCCATCTTGAAGGTGTGCGCGATACGGTGACATTCCGAGCGATAAATCCGCCGGAAATTTTTCCGGCTACACGTTGAGTGGGTGCTTTGGGCAAAGATCGCCACCGTTGGTGGATAAGGTGTGGGACGGATGGGTGGACCGTGGTACGCTGGGGGAGCTCAGCAATAACCATTGGAGTTTGGTTTATGGATCTGTGCAGTTGGTTATTGACTTTTGCGTTGTTGGGCTGGCAGTGATAGCTTAGCTCCCATGGTAGTGAGTGGGATGGGGTCGGAGAAAGACGATGATTGGAATTCGAGGTGATCGTCGTTGGAGAAGAGTTTATAGTTGGATATGCATGTACATCCAGGCGAGGTCACATGGTCTTCTGCCAAACGTGACCCCGCGGACAGCTCATGGCACCTGTCTTTACTCTTTACCGTCCTTGATAATTCTAGACCGATAGAACGCCCAAAGTGACTAGAATCAGATAAACTCCATTTAGTCTACGCTATATACAAAACCAGATGCGTCGTGTAGTGCATTCGCCAGCCATCCTCTATCCGTGAATTCCATCCCGTCCCTCAAAACCAGAACCAACGCGAGGTTCCCCCAGATTCCCGATTTCCCATCGACCGTAAAGGCAGATTTAAAAGATCATAATACATCGAATCATGGCGAAGAGTGCATACTCTCCCACTTGTTCACGGCCTCCATGGCTGCCGTGACCTTGAGCCCAATGCGAGCATCGAGCTCGTAGCTCTCCCAGCGCGCCGCCTTCTCTAGATACTCCTTACACTCGCGCACCTTTTGTTCTTCCAGCTGCGCCGCAGCGGCGGAATCGGTGGGTTTTGGAGACGGCTCCGGAGCGGTATCGTGAGCGTCGGGAGCACCGTGGTTGGGTGTGTACGCCGGGCGTTCCATCCAGCAGTTGGCGGCCATCTCGAAATGAGCGACGGGCAAGATCCAGTTATCTTTGAGGTGACCGTTAAACGTCGCCTTCTCGTGGTGCAGAACATCCGTTTGAAGGATCTCCCTAGCCTGCTCGTGTTTGCGCATCGACCGGAAAACGGCTGCTCGCAGCAGCTGCAGGATGGCCTTCTCCTCGACACCTTCCTTAGACCAAGTCTTGTTGGCGGGATTTTCAGACCAGGCGAGTTTCTCGAGGGACTCCTCGAGTTGCTCCGTTGTCATCCGACTGTGTCCGTTCCAGAAGAAAATCATCTCCTCGACGGGGTCGACCCCGACGGCCTCGACGAGAGGTACCTTCCACTCCTTGGCGCGGGCCTCCCACTTGGCTACCTTGCGTGCAACAAACACGTCGAATGGTAGCTGTCGAGCCATGAACTTTTTCTTTCCGGCTAGGGTGGGTGCTATCCGGAAGTATTCGGTGGCCTTCTCCGCATGATTGGATGCTGCAGTAGGGTCTGTTTCCTGAGCAGCTCGGTATAAAGTAAGATGCGATGCCCCAGCGATGTAATAGTACAATGAACGAGACCAAGAATTGAGGTCGACACACTGGATCCACGGTCAGCATCAGAGAAAAAAGAATAGGCTGATGGAAGAGGAAGGCACAAGTTACCTCGATAAATGACTCCGCACACAGTTCATACTTGTGGAGATACATCGCGTTCAAACTCCGCTCAAACACCCTCAAAGCCTCAACCTGCTTCAAGGGACTGCGGTCTTTGCCGCACAAGAGCTCCAATGCCGTGTCAAGGTCCTTGTTGGCACCTTTCATTCTCGATTCTTCAAGAACCCAAAGCTGACTGTTAGGGAATCGTTTCCGCATCACGCCCAAAAGAGCTTCGAGTCTCTCCTGGGGATAGCCCTGCACATCGCCATCCTCCCCGGCGTCAGGCATGATGTCACAATAGCGCACGAACCCGTTGTAATACCCGAGGATGGCAAAGGCAGAGATGGCACCGATCAAGTTATGGAATTTGCTCGCCTGCCACAACATCCGCAGCCCTCGCTCCTTGTCTCCGTGGAATCCGATGATACTGAGAAGTTTGCTGAACGCGGGAGGCACCATAGAAATGAGCAACAGCAGGATGCCGAAGCAGAAATTGGCACCGGAGTGCACGAAGACATCAATGCGGTTGTGGAAGACATCCGAGTCGGGGTCGTGGCTCAGCATGTCCGACTGAGCGCGGCTGGACGAGTCCGTTGACACGTCAGAGTCCGAGACGTTCATCTCGGATAATTGCTGAGAGATTCTGGCCGTTTCCGAGGCGGCGGCTTTCGGATCTGGCTTGGTCGGTTCAGTACTGGGCACCGAACGCTTCGGATCAGCAGACCGCTTCTCCTGGATGAACTTCTGCTCCATCTTCAGGATGGCGTCTAAGGCGATATAGGCCTTTCGCAACTTATAAAACCCCTTGATACTCTCCGTGAGACTCTCGTTGAGGACCCCAACCACGGCGCTCATGAGCTGGGCCATAGCCTGAACGAGCGCGAACTCGGTTCCCGGCGCGTACATCTGCGAGTGGTAGGAGTTCGGCGCATTGGAGTTGTGTTGGGCCTTATGCTGGTCGCTGTAGGCCGTGTTTTCCGCCGTGTTGAGTCTTTCCGACGCTGCGGGGGGTCAGCTGGCGTCAACCACACTTCGCATCGCAAGCGAAGAAGGTCCAGTTGACAACGAACCTTGGCGCATGATCTCCTGTTCGAATCCCAAGGTCGCCCGAATAAATGCGACGACACCCCTACCGAGCTATGCAACACGAGAGAACCTAGTCAGCGGCTGACATCGCGGGGGGGAGAATCGGCCGACATCTCCGGTCAGACTTACATGGTGGAACGATGAAATGCCTTCAGAGAGGCCACTTTCGGCGCCATCTACATCGTCATTGAGGATGAGTGTAGCAGCTGGTTTAAGGCGTCCCAATCAGTACATGATCACATCATCCACGAAGCGGCGGTGCTGATGGAACGATCGGAGTCGGAAATGCATACCCTTCATAGCATCATCCACTTTCAACGCCAAAAACACCGATCAGTATAATGTAATTCGCAAGGAGATAACCGTGTAGTTCCAGAGGCACTCACGATCACGCAGTTCGGCGAGCGAATCGAGCGACTGGGTTGAGTCATTGGCATTCAGCTTTTTGCCGTAGAGCCACGAACCCACCCGGAACATGCTGAAGTAGATGCGGTTGCCACCGGATCGACAGTGGTGTGAGAGAACAAATCAAAGGGAGCTCCAGAAAATCTCCAGACTCTCCGAAGAAACGGTTGTAAGGCGAAATTCAAGGCTGATCGAGCCGAACAGAGAGTCGGCGGGGCCCGAACCCCAAAACAAGAAACGAACGACGGAAGGGGAGCAATATCGATGCACTCATCGAGGCACAGACCGAGAATGTGGCAGAATTACCGAGAACATAAACCAACCCTCTGGGCAGCGTGAGGAAGAGGGAAAAGGAACAGTGCCAAAGAGGAGAGAGAGAAGGTGACGAAGAGGAGGAAGTAAATGCATAATAAATGAAAATTCACCCAAGGCACAAGCCTATGGTCCACCGCGAACCAACGGGCGAAACGGAGGTTTCGGCATGAGAAGATGGAGATAAGTCAGACGGAGTTCCAGACCATGAGACTAGTATTGAGCTGGTTAGCTCCGACTTAGCTTTGCAACCGTCCATGGACAACGGATCTTATTCTATTCGGTGTAATTCCATGAACAGGTTTAACTAACTAGTTAATAATAATGTGGTTTATGCGGAGTTTATGCCGGCTCTATGTCGAATCCTTCAGGGCCTGAGGCTGACCTTACCAATCTTACTGCTTTACAATCTGGTGTCCATTCACTCAGCCTCTTTCTTCAGTGATGCCTAGAAGCTAGTATCCAAATCAATCCACATAATTCCAAAAAGAAATGAAAGAGGACTGATCGTCCAGAGATCAATCCAGGAGAAAAGTCCATTGAAACAGAGCAGGGCGGGTACCGCATCATTTGAGCAGTCCGTAATTAGTAGCGAACGTCAGTGCGGGCGGTCAACCTTACTCCGCGCTGGCAGAGCTACAGTGTACTCCTCCTCCGCCGGACAAACAACTTCAATTCCTACTACATTCACGCCTGTCCCCCACCACCCCACTCGACTCTGCTATCCACTCTTGCTCGGACATACCTTCTTGCTTTCCATCCTCCCCGTCACGACTGCGACTCACCACACCACCCCTCCACCATGTCGAACACAAGTCAGACCCAAACCAAGGCCGAACCGACACAGCAGCCCCAGCAAGAACAGAAACCCCCGGTGCTGGAAGAAGACGACGAGTTTGAAGATTTCCCCGTCGAAGGTGAGCCGAAATTGCCAGGAGGGAGATTTCAACACACCGACGTGGTGAACGAATGATTGGACGGATTGCGCTGACCGACGGTTTCATCACATATAGACTGGCCCCAGGAGGAATCCGAGCAGGCAGGCGCCAACGGGACAGAAAACCACCTGTGGGAGGAGAGCTGGGATGATGACGATGCGGCCGAGGACTTCTCGAAGCAGTTGAAGTGCGTTCCTCCCTTTTCTCTTTCCTTTCCTTTCCTTTCCTTGATTGCGGGGTGACCTTCGTATCTATGTTATCATTGCCATTGCCTTTTCAAATCCATCAATATGTCACGGATTAACTAACACATATCCTACCAACAGAGAGGAACTTAAAAAGGTCGAAGCATCCCATTAGTCGCACGGTTGGCGTGTTTCGGGACCACGAGATGAAATGATGATTGGTTATTACCACGGGAATGCAATCGAAGAATCAATTTAATTCCATCCATCCATCCATCCATCAAGCAAGCAAACGAGCAAGAAACTTTCTACCTTTACCACGATGAGACGCAGTGATATTGATCCGGTTTGAGTCAATGTCTGAAGCCAGTCGGAGGACACAACGGAAAAGGGATAAGAAAAGAAAGAAGGTCGGAAACACCATCATAGAGAATAATGGCAACATGACTGTAGAGGGGTAGAGGGGTTGGATCTTCTGTGGGAAAAGAGAAGACATTTCTCTACGTGCAGTAAATGCAATCTCACATGGAGGATATTTGGGCCGGTCGGTGATACTTTGGTGCTTAATGAGATATTACTATTATCCTATTTATCCTACGAGCGAGTATTTTATTTTGATAGACCCATTTATCCAATCTCTTCAAGAAATCAAGTCAATTGCTCTCATTAGTGTGATTCATACTCATTGAACGGTAAGGATGTTCAGGCAAGAAACCCAAGCGTACAGCTCTCACAGCTTAGGACCCGTGTCTATCAATCAATCAACCTATCATTAGAATGCAATTTTGAACTTGTTTTTTGCTTGCTTATATTTCATGCTCATTGTACATTACATCATAGATTAAGAAAAGAAAAGACATCATTTTCCGCCCGAAGCCACACCCTAATTTTCCGCACACATTTACTTACTGGACAGAGCGGAAACACCGGGGAGGTCCTTGCCCTCCAGGAGCTCAAGCGAGGCACCACCACCGGTGGAAACGTGGCTGAGCTTGTCCTCGGCGCCGTACTTGGCCGCGACGGTGGCGGTGTCACCACCGCCGATGATGACGATGGAGCCGGACTGGGCGGCCTTGACGACAGCGTCGAGGGTGTTCTTGGTGCCGCTGGCGAAGGGCTCCAGCTCGAAGACACCGCAGGGGCCGTTCCACAGGATGGTCTTGGACTCGGCGATGGTCTGCTTGTAGAGCTCGACGCTCTTCTCGCCGACGTCGAGGCCCATGTAGCCGTCGGGGATGCCCTCGGCGTCGGTGGCCTTGCCGGTCTTGGCATCGGCGGCGAACTTGTCGGCGGTGATGTAGTCGACGGGGAGGACCAGCTTGACGTTGTGCTTCTTGGCCTTCTCGACGACGTCGCCGACGATCTTGGCGCCGGCCTCGTCGAAGAGGCTGTTGCCGATCTTGACGCCCTCCAGGGCCTTCTTGAAGGTGAAGGCCATGGCGCCCGTGATGATCAGGCTGTTGACCTTGGGCAGCAGATTGTCGATCAGCTGGATCTTGTCGGAGACCTTGGCGCCGCCGAGGATGGCCAGGAAGGGGCGCGCGGGGTTCTCCAGCGCCTTGGCGAAGTAGTCGAGCTCCTTCTTCACGAGGAAGCCGGAAGCCTTCTGCGGCACCTCGACGCCGACCATGGAGCTGTGGGCGCGGTGGGCAGTGCCGAAAGCGTCGTCTGGAAGACGTTAGTGTGCTAGGTTTCTTCTACTGATTTCCAAAAAAAAAGAGGATGTGACATACTGATATAGACATCACCCAGAGCAGTAAGTCCCTTGCGGAACTCAGCAACCTGCTCCTTGTCGACCTTGACCTTCTTGCCCTCGGCATCCTTGTAGCTTCCCTCCTCCTCGGGGTGGAAGCGCAGGTTCTCCAGAAGGACGATCTGGCCACCAGAGGCCTTGTTGACGATCTCCTCGACCTGCTTGCCAACGCAGTCCTCGGAGAAGATGACGTTGCGGCCGAGCAGCTTCTCGAGCTCGGCAACCACGGGCTTCAGGCTGTACTTGTCGTTCTTCTTGCCATCGGGACGACCCAGGTGGGACATGAGGACGACGGCCTTGGCGCCATTCTCGACGGCGTACTTGATGGTGGGGAGGGCACCGACGATACGCTGGTTGTTGGTGATCTCCTTCTTGTCGTTGAGGGGAACGTTGAAGTCGACCTGTTCACAGGATTCATATCAGTACTGTCCTCCCTAGCTCCGTTCGCCCATAGAAGGGGGCCACATACCCGGATGAGGACACGCTTGTCCTTGAGGTCGACGTCAGTGATAGCGAGCTTGTTGGAGAGAGACATTATGACGGTTCTGATTGAAAGCGGGGTTGGATTAGCAGGAGTTGGGAGCCAAACAACACAATGGGTAGCTACCTTGAAGAGGAATTGACTTGGATGTTTACGAGAAGAGGAATTGGAAAAGGAGAGGAACACCACACTTAATACGGTCACGGTGAGCGGCGGGGTAGCTGAGGGAGCACTTGTTTTGCCCGCATGGTGGGGCGTCCGGTGAGATTCGCTGACGCATCGGGCTGTTGCGGGACTGATGTCAATGTCCGCGATCGATGACGGAAGGCCCCGGGGCCTGCCTGAGAATTCTCGATAGCCTCGGATCGAATGCAGCGCGATCGGCAATTTATTTTCTTTGGAATTGATCCCGGGCATAGGGGACGTTTCATCTCCCTGCCGCTCCGAAGTTGTCTGTGGACCGTTGCTCGTAGAGACCCACGTTTGTTTTCGTGGACGAAAGAGAGCTCCGTCCATTTTAGTAGACTCCGTGTTGTAGTGTTGTACACCCGCTCAAGTATTTGCAATTAAACAGCTTCCGACACCTGCACCTAGGATACGGAATCTTTATCATAACAGAGCATTCAACGCCCCCTGTCCCTCCGAAAAAATATCAAAGAGCGTATAAGTCTTATACACAAGCGAGAGTAACACCAACAACAACCCGAACCCATATGACGCCGATACAAAGCACCAAAGCCCACCAGAAGAAATGGGAGAAAGACGCTAACCTGGACTACCACCGGAAAGACAACCAAAAACGACTGTGATAGGGACACAAGCGCTGAGGGGTGGTTTATTCCTCCTCGGCGGAGTTGGTCAAAGACAGATATGCAGTCCACGCGATACCGATGGTCGACACAAACGGCTGTACCGGGAGTCGGTTAGCTACGCAAAGTCCTTGTACTCTTCCACGAGACAATCACTTACAATCTGGAACTGGATGGGAACGACCCGGAAATTCAGGATCTGCACGGCAGGCCAGAGAACGAAATTGGCTTTGAGGGTAGGCAGGTAGACATCCTGAAACTTGCGAGTCAAGGCCCTCCGTCCACCACCCTCGGCCACCGTCATGAAGGTGAAAAAGCACCCCAGACCTAGAACGCACGTTAGAACACGATTCCACCTCCAAGCGATAAAACACCAGGGCTCGTACCGAAGGGAGCGAAGATCAACTGATCGCAAGCCACCCGCTTCAATGCCGACAGGCTCGGGTTGACCTTGGTGAGAGGGAACGCCCGGGACAAGAAGCCAAACCACTGGAATTGGAGAGGCGCCATGAAGAAACCATACGACATGAACCGGGTCAACCGCTCAAAATCGAACGGGGGGTGCGTCGTATAGCCCAACTCCCCAAACGCCGGTGGGCTGTGTTTCTTGTCGAGGTCGTGGAACTCGATCGAGACGAGATCGTCCTCGTCGGCATGTCTGCGTCCGGGACGAGCTCTGTAGGCTGTGATCAGTTGCGCAACGGTATCTGCGACCCCGCCCAAGATCTAGAAGGGTATCATCCGGTCAGTCAATTTGGTTCACAAATGATATCTTTGCTATCACGTGCGAACATACCGCATTGGTGACCATGGTGGTCAACACTGTGCAGAAGAAAGGTTAGCTGATGCGTCCGCGCAGAATTGGGAGTCAGGCATCCTCACCCGGCTTTTCGGCATAGTAAGAGTTGAACTTGGCGGCCAGCCGCGTGGTCGCTACCATCTCGATGAGGAAGATAATGCAATGAAGTAAAGGCTATCAATCAAAATCACAAAGGGGGGACGAATTAGTACCAATCTCCAAGCAAAAGAAAAAAGAAAAAAAAAAAAAACCCCATTCATATCACAAAGAGGGAGTGCTCCGAAGCGCCCGGGGGGGGGAAGAAGGGTGACATACGAAACGACCGTAGATGTACCGCCTGTTGAGACCGTCCAAAATTCTTCGACGCGTTGTGAAAAACATGCTGGATGCCCCTTGGAATAAAAAAAATAATATATATCCGGATTTATTGCTGTGAGATAGGGCCGAGAGGCAAAAGAACCTGGAAGTATTTGCCCTTGGCGGTCTGGAATGACGCAAAAGAGGATCGCTGGGGGGAAAGTAACAGGTAGGCAAATCGGCTCCAGACCCACGCCCCCTACTAAGGGATCTTGTAAGGATATTTGGAACAGGGTGGAACGTCAGATCTGTCCAGATTTCCTTCCCACAAGGTTTGGGAAATGCAACAGACCGGCTCGAACGACCGAGAATAACAAGAGTACTTGTTGCAGAGGAGGGAAAGGGGAAATCAAGAGGAATAGGGAGAAAGAAGGAGAAGAGGGTGATTATGGATTAGAATCCAGGTTGTCCGTCCAGATGAAAGACTGAAAAAGTAACCAATAAGTCATGGAATCAAGGATGGCTTACTTGTACCAACTAAGGAAAGCCGTACTAGTCTACCAAACAGTAAGGAGGGCGTCATCGCGGCTGTGCCGATCCTGATGGGGGAGAAGGGGGAGAATCAGGTCCACTGTCACCGCCCACCTTACTGGCCAGTGACACTCCATGACCACCTCTCCGCACTTGAACTGTCAATGACTCTAGGTTACAGATTTGATGATTGTAACGGTGATGGTGGGGAGTATATTTACTTGTGAAATACAGTAAGCTGTTTCAAATAATATAGAACTTGAGTTTTGATTTATCTACACGAGCAAAGGTACGCATATATGTTGGTCTGTACGGAGTACGGAGTATATGTAGTAGATCTATATATAGAGTAATATTATAGATATGAATTATTCTAGCCCCACCGCGACTCTGACATCTATGCATTTACATCGTAGACGGAACATACATTAAATCGTTCCCCTGCTTATGATACATCCGGCGTGGGGATCCCCTTCCGGTCATAGACGAGAATGTCTGGGAGGTCTTTGATATCGGTCGGCTCGTTCGTATTGGCGTCGATCAGGCGCACAGCCTCCAGGTGGAGAGCGCCTACCGCCAGCGGAAGCAGTTTTAATTCGGTCGCAAAACAAGTGCCCGGTAAGAGGGGGCTGAAAAATTGGACAAGTTAGATCGTAGCGGAGGGGTAGAAGGATGCGGCGAAAACTTACCCGACACGCAGATCGGTGCTCAGAGAGACAAGGTCGGCTTCCTGGCCCGTCACCGTCTTCTGCATCGCATGGACTATGTTGTCATCGGTGACCGCCTCGGCAACCTGGTGCTCTTTGCGGCTCGAAAGCGACGCGGACGACGGTCGCGCACCATGTCCCCTGGAGTCCGCCCGCTTCTTTCGCGGAATGGCGAAAATGGCGAATTTACGAGGCGCGGGGGAACGGTTGACAATGAACACGTCCCAGGAGAATGCTTTGCCCACTTCAACACTGGTCGGCCCGGAGAACGAGATGCTCACGCCTTGATCGACGGTGGAATAGGCTCGCTCTCGGATAGACCCCCTGCTGGGCGGAGGGGCTCCTCCCAGGGGGGTGGTCTGGATGGGAGGCACCATCGAGAGACTCGAGGGACGGTGGATCCGCTGCAACGCTTGACTCGGGCCACCAAAGTTGGGATTGAGAGCCATGGAAAAGTCCACATTGGTCCTCCACTGCATTAGGATCCGCGGGCAGCTGTCCTCGGACAGCTTGATAACGGCCTCCAGAGAAATGTCCAAAAAGCATGCCATGGCCGTTGCCGTCGGGTTTGGGTCCGGGCCGTATTCCGGGGTCAATTTGTACATCAGGGTGATATTGTCGCGCGGGCGGCACTGTATCGGCGGAACGAGTCCAGGCGCATTCGACATGAGCTCGACTGTACCGTCCGACATGTGCAAATCGGCCTTGTCGAAGACAACGTCGCAGTTCAGATATGGCGTCACCTCCAGGTCCAGGCTTGCGATGGTCGCGGGCTGCCCCGAAAAGGAGTTTAACCGCACATAGCGTATTCTAGCACTCGCCGCAGGGACTACCCGTATGGGATGGCCTGAATCTTGTTGGACGTTGTAAATGGGGTTCTCGCTGTATTGGGCCGGCACCACCCGCAACAGTCTCGACGCAGGCAAGAAAGGATCCTTTCGCTTGAGCGATTTATCTCCTGACAGAGGTTGCAAGATGTTTGTAGACGCGGGAATCATGGGTGGGAGGTAGTCATCGTCAACCAAGTCTTCTGGTCGGCTCTCGGATGGGTTCAGGCTGGCAGAGGCGATAAACAAAAGGGAGGGTTGTTGGATGCGTATCCGCGGGCGCCCTACGAAAGAGTAGTATCAGCAAACAGCCAGGTGAGGGAAGACGATGGGAGAAGTACTGATAAATGTCTCAATATTCCAGATCGCGTAGACATGATTTCCACTACCAGCCTCTCCCTCAAACTCGTTCACGACAACCAGTGGCTCTTCCTGGGGATTAACAAACCCCGAGAAAATCAAATCCCTCGTCGGTGTTGGATTCTCCGCGACCGTTTCGGCTGGGTCGATTGCGAAACCATCGAGCTTGATTTCCAGGTTCTGGAGGTGGTGTTTCAAGCTGTTTTGCGAACAGTTGGAGAGTCGCAGGACGATGCTGACGGTACAGAATTCATCTAGATTAAACTATCCATGAGTAAGAGCAGGTCCGACCCGGACAAAAGATCCTCACATACCAAAGAACAATAGCGACCGTTGGGGTATGGATGCGAGTACGGAGGTCAGGTCGTCTGCGCCTCCTTCTAATGCGGACGTCAACGCCGCCTCTAGATCTATATTCGAAGCATGCGGGACAACAGTATCCAAGACAGCATGCCTTAGAAATTCTCCTGGAACTTCGAGGCCTGGCATCACGATAAGACCAGTCGCATGTCCCTACCGGTATGATAGGTCGTCGACAGACAATTATTCACAATCAAATCGAAAAACAAACAAACTTGAATCGAAAAGGGGGGGGGTTAGGATTGGGTTGTAATTTAAGGGTTGATCCACCAGCTTGCGGAGGTGATCGCGGTTTGTCGGGGGGTGCCTGGTGCAAACGGAACAAACACCCTCTTGGCGCGAGGACTCGTCCAGCTGCGGCAGCTTCTTTTTCGTTCGGGCGGAGAGTGTCTTTCATCCACACCAGCATCCATCGCTGATCCCCACGGAACTTGCAGTTATGAATCCGATGAGTGGGCCAGCAGGGGCGCCTGCTATCTGGCAGGAAGCCCGCAATAGTGATGGGCGCGTTTACTATTACAATGTCCAAACAAAGGCGACGCAGTGGACGAAACCCTTTGAATTGATGTCACCTGTTGAGGTTGGTCTTTCTTCATTCTAGCTTGGATTGTGCTAACTTATCTTCACAGAGGGCGTTGTCGAATCAGCCATGGAAAGAGTACACGGCCGAAGGTGGGCGGAAATACTGGTATAACACGGAATCGAAGCAAAGCACCTGGGAAATGCCAGATGTTTACAAGACCGCTTTAGCGCAGGTCCCAGCGCCTCAAGCGCCAGCTGCCGCGTAAGTGTTATGCATCCTAGTGTCTTGGGGCACAGCTAATCGAGGTGTTATCTAGGGCACCAACGTTTGTCGCCGGTGGTGTGAGCTCGTTTTCGTCCTTCCCTCCGCAACGCGAACGCGAAGACTACGATCGAGGTTCCGGTGATCGGCGTGGATATGGCTCGATGGATACGAACGGGATGTCGGCTGCTCCGATGCTGGGCACGGCGCAATCAGAGCCGGAGTATGGATCATTCGAGGAGGCGGAAAGCGCGTTCATGAAGATGCTCAAACGCCACAACGTGCAGCCTGAGTGGACCTGGGAGCAGACCATGCGCGAAACGATCAAAGACCCCCAATATCGCGCTTTGAAGGACCCCAGAGATCGCAAAATAGCCTTTGAGAAATATGCGGTCGAGGTTCGCATGCAGGAAAAGGACCGGGCGAAAGAACGATTCGCTAAGCTCAGGGCAGATTTCAATACCATGCTGAGACGGCATCCTGAGATCAAGCATTACAGCCGTTGGAAGACCATCCGTCCGATCATCGAAGGTGAGACGACGTTCCGGGCTACCAACGACGATCACGAGAGGCGGCAGTTGTTCGAAGAGTACATCCTGGAACTCAAGAAGGAGCACGCGGAGCAGGAATCTGCCAAGCGCAAGGCGGCAGTGGAAGAGCTGACCACTATCCTGGGCTCGCTTAACCTCGAGCCTTACACGCGCTGGTCTGAGGCACATGCAATCATCCAGTCCAATGACAGGGTGCAGGGGGATGATCTGTTCAAGGCTCTCACCAAGTGTGATATCTTGACTGCGTTTGAAAACCACATCAAGTCCTTGGAACGGACGTTCAATGAGGCCCGCCAGCAGCAGAAGACGGCCAAGGCAAGAAAGGAGCGTCATGCTCGCGAGCAATTCATCGAACTGTTGAAAGAGCTCCGGTCCCAGGGCAAGATCAAGGCTGGATGCAAGTGGATGAACATCTACCCTATCATCCATGAAGACTCCCGATACGTCGGTATCCTCGGCAACTCTGGATCGTCTCCCATGGACCTCTTCTGGGACATGGTCGAGGAGGAGGAACGTTCACTGCGTGGGCCTCGGAATGACGTCTTGGATGTTCTCGATGTGAGTAAACGGCTTGAATATACCGTGCTTGGACTTAACTGATCATGTTTTCCAGGACAAACGCTACGAGGTCACTCCCAAGACCACCTTTGAAGAGTTTCACGAAATTGTTGCTGCAGATCGCCGAACGGCGAACATCGACCCCGAAATCCTCCACCTTCTGTTCCAGCGCATCCAAGAGAAGGCGACTCGGAGAAGCGAGGAAGAAAAGCACGCAGCCGACCGGCACCAGCGACGCGCGATTGACGCCCTGCGTTCCCGGATCAAGAGGCTGGACCCGCCCGTCCGGTCCTCGGACACTTGGGAGACGGTGCGGCCTCGGGTGGAAAAATACGAGGAATACAAAGCCCTCGAAACCGACGAACTCCGGCAGACCGCCTTTGACAAGGTCCTCCGCCGTCTCCGGGAGAAGGACGAAGATGCCGATCGCGAGCGCGAGCGCGAACCGCGTGACCGAGACCGCGGCAGCCGTCGGGACTACGATCGGGGCGACCGCGACCATCGCTCGCATCGCGGCGAACGACGGGGGCCACCAAGCCGCGTCAGCCGTACTCCAGAGCCGGACGCTTACGAGGCAGACCGCCGCAAAGCCCAGGCGGATCGCGAACGGTCCTACCGCAAAGTCAGCAGTACTCTGTCCCCAGTCCAAGAGAGGCGGGAGGATCGTGATCGCGATCGGGAACGCCACCGGGAGCGGGACCGCGAGCGTGAGCGCGACCGCGACTGGGATCGGGAGCGGAGCACCCGCTCTCTCAGCCACTACGACCGCGACCGCCGGGACCGAGAGGACGAGCGGGAGCGACTGTATCGTGCGCGCGCTGACCCGCGCGGCAGTCGGGACGAGCTCGACTACGGAGGCGACTCGCGCAGCACTGTCAGCAACGACCGGCGACGCCGGCGTGACAGTGACGCGGAGAGCGTGGCCAGCCGCTCTGCGAAGCGCTATCGTCGTGACAGCCGTGAGCGCGAGCGCAGTCCGCGTCGGGAGCGGGAACGACGAGAACGCACCCCGGCTGTTGATCAAGCACGGAAGGAAGAAAAGGCGGTGCATTCTGGTAGCGAGGAGGGGGAGATCGAGGAAGAATAGGCTGTGTATGAGGGGTTGTATTTCCTAGTTATCTACCTAGTAAAATGAAGGCATTTGAAGTACACCGTCCTCGTCTACTGGGCTACCATATCTAAGCCTTACTTATCCAGGTGGTTCTCTACTTTGAAACTCGAGGCACCGCTTACAGCTCCCAATTTCGATCGTCCATAGCAAACACCCCGAGGAACATATACCATTCACTATTCAAAGCCGTACCCGCCCCATCCAATCCATGAATTGTCTATTTCCGACACATACCGAATTGTCAGGATACTATCCACTCATGACCCATCGACTTGCTCATCGCTCCCTTTGGTCACACAGGATCAAGCCTTTTGGCATCAACTAGGGCTTCGGGCAGAATATGAGGGTCGCACGACAGGATTGTTCCACAGGGTATTAGCCCTTGATCTTTCTTATTGGGTTCGATATAAGGGCGTCGAGTGGCTGGTTTGACTACTTTCTGGGAAGATAAGGTAGTATCAAAGGGAAGGGGGGCCTTGGTATTGGTATGGATGCGCCCTTACAGACAGGATAGCCCTGATAGGATGTAGTCGTATATTCCTGCCATCTGGTCCTGATCGGACTGTTACATTAACTCTCCTGTCCAGGTTAGCACCCACAGGATGGGTCATAAAATTCCAGCCTGGTACGTCAAAAGCCCGATATTGAGGGCGTGGCCTTGCCATGATTATATATGTGTGTAGGAGTGTGAAAAGAGGGACAGTTTAGAATTATATATTTTCTAGGTTTTGCAACATATTTAGATACTCTTTTTTATATATATATACTTTCTATCGATATATTTTGGCTATGGAGGTCATCTGGTGAGTGATATATTGAGCAGACTGGACATGAGGCCCAAATAAGAAAAGATCTGTTATATCAGGAAGCTATTTTGATGACATCCTGGAATAGATCAAGAAATGAACGAGACAGGTCGTGGAATGCTGGAATGTGGAGACACCAGGATCTATACTGTCGATCAACCGCTTCTATAAACAAATACACCTCTATCTATACACTACAGCAATCAGTCGGAACGTCTGTGTCCACAATTCTACATTGCACTAATGGGAGTAGAACGATGGCGACATATTTTCCAACCCCTCAGTCCATCTTCCCCTCTTCCATCCAACAACACCCATAATGCCCCGTTACCGTACCGTCGCCGTGATTGGAACCGGTCCGTCGGGCATCTCAGCCCTCCGTGCCCTGCACGACGAGCAGGCATTCGACACCATCCGTGCCTTTGACCGACGCGATGGACCCGGGGGAATGTGGAATTACGATCCCATTCCGCAGCCCTTCCCAGGGCCGGATCCTCCATCCTCAACCCCGCGTCCATCTCCCCCGGCCACTCTACCCGGGTATACCCTCCCGGCGCCTGAAGACGTCACTGTCCGCACGGCGCTCTACCCCTACCTGGACAGCAACGTCGGCGCGGACATCATGTCCTTCACCCACACGCCACTCCCCAACGTCAACTCAGAGACCTCTATCCAGCGATATGGCCCGGACAACCCCACTCGCCCGTGCACGGCGATCACCGCGTATCTCAAATCCCTAGCCCAAAAGTTCGTCGACACCCCGTCCCTCATCTCCTTCAACATGACCGTCGAAAGCGTCGACAAGAACCCAGACACAGGGAAATGGACGCTGACGCTGCGCCGCCCAGACCCAGCCAGCCAGCGCGACTACTGGTGGCAGGAGTCATTCGACGCCGTCGTCGTCGCAACAGGCCACTACCACATCCCGTCCGTGCCAGCCATCCCCGGTCTCGACAGCGTCGCGCCCTCTACCCTCGAACACGTCAAATCTTTCCGCAGCCCAGACCCCTACCGCGACCAGAAGGTGATCGTCGTTGGGGGGAACTACTCCGCCGCAGACCTCGTCATCGACCTCCACGACATCGTCCAACACCCACTGTACGTCTCCCGCCGCGGCAACACCGACATCTTCCCCGGCGTCTGGCATCTCCAAGGGGTATACACCACTCCGCCCATAGCACGAGTGGAGCCATCATCATCATCACCATTAAACTCGATAAACGTAACCTTCACAGACAACACAACCTTGAAAAACATCACCAAAATCATCTTCGCAACAGGCTACAACCTCTCCTACCCCTTCCTGCACCCAAACCCCGTAACCCCCCACAACCACCTCACAGGCTTCTACCAACACATCTTCCAAATAGGCGACCCCTCCCTAGCAATCGTAGGCCAAGTGCGCGGGTCCCTCCCCCTCCGCGTTTACGAGTACCAAGCAGTAGCAGTAGCGCGCTACTTCGCTAACCGGAACGCGGTCGCTCTCCCGTCCGAGGAGGAGCAGCGCGCGTGGGAGAAGGAGAGGTTGCGGAGGACGGGTGCGTCTGTGCTTTTCCATGAGCTTGGGGATGGCGTGGGGGGTTATTATGAGTTTTGCCGTGCGTTGGCGGGTCGGCCTGCTGGGGGGACGCGTGGGTATGAGTTACCTCCGTTTGGGGATGATTGGGTGAGGGTTGGGTTGGGGGTGTTGAGGGCGAAGAATGAGTTTTGGGGGGAGATCGCTAGGGCTGGGGGTGGATAGACTTTTTTGGATAGATTTGTGGGTGATGTAGATAGGTTGGTAGGTTGGATATATTGTTGAATGATACATACTGTGCAGGTTGTCGGGGACAAAGGAGATGATGCCTTTTCGTTCCGTTGCACAACAGCTGCGGGTAATCTCTTTAGTGGAAATGGATGTCCTTGCATGGACCCGGCTGGGCTGGTGTTGGAGCGTGTGGACAAGGGAAATGAGGCTCATGCCGTTGACTTCTTACTTTGTGTGAAGGGTTCAAATACTTCAATTCTGTCCTGCTGAGAACAGGGCCTAGAGGGGTCGACGAAATCCGAGGAAAGCAGTCCAACTCTACAAAAACCCTATGCTATCCAGTCATACCAATGGCAGACAGTCCCTCGTCAGGCCTATAGATTGGTAAGATCACTGTGCCCAACGAGCCCGCTTAGAAAAATCAGTCAACATTGGAGTGGATTGCAGTGATCTAGACAGGAAATTCAAACTAGACAGAACATGAGATAGAGATAGCAGCAACATTTTTCGGAAAAATACACCACCATGCTGATTTGTCCCACTCCGTCATCGCTGACCGACATGATCGTCCACGGCCCCTCTATATCAGAAAGATTATCAGAACTTTTCCTAATTCAACCTTGGTATGATGACGCCGAAACCGTAGCCCATATATAAACCCATGCAACGAGATCCGGATCCGAGACCCGGATACCACGAAGACATCTGAAGAACAAAATACAAAATAACTCGACGGCGAGATGCGGGCTGTGCGTGCGAAGGGCGGTGGGGACGGTGACGACGTGGGGTTGAAATAAAAGTTATGACTGGGATAGGGGAGGCCTCGGGCGATTGTCCGGGCCAGAGTCGTTGTCATCCCCGTCGTCATCATCCTCCGACGCACCCTCCTCATCACCTACTAGGCCCCCGTCGTGGTGACGGCAGTGCCTTCCCGAAGACTTGGTAACGCCGAACAACGCCACGGAACGAGGGTTCCTCCGTCTCTCGCGACGCGGGATATGTCGCCAGTCGGAGTCGCGCTCACCACGCCAGTGATGATCGCGGTCATGCTTGTGAGGGACGCCCGATTCAACTCTCTTCCTCCAGGAAATACTGCGCGGATGAGAATTAGCACAGTCAGTGATTGAAGGGGTTCTCGGTGTACTTACGTAGTTCCCATTGAGCTTCTGCTCCTGGTCCATTTGACTCTGGTACTTGTTGATACGCGGGCGGTAGCTGTTGGGGTCACGGCGGAAAGTGACGTCCAGGTTCTTCAGGAACCGGTTGCAGCCAGTAACCAGAGACTCGGGAGTGTTCGCGCGGGCATCAAAGGACGGCTTACCATCGAACACGATGACACGATCCGCCAGATAGGTAGCCATGATGAAATCGTGTTCGACGATGAAAGCGGTCTTCTTGGCGTGCATGATGAATCGCTTGATGACACGCGCGGCCACAATACGCTGCTCGGAGTCGAGATAGGCGCTAGGCTCGTCGATCAGGTAGATGTCGGCCGGGATACCCAGAGCCAAGACGATGGCCACACGCTGCAATTCACCACCGGACAGGTTCTGAACCTCCTGGTCAATGAAATCGTCGATTTTCAGCGGCTTGTACACATCCGTCTGGAACTGCGGCGAGAGGAAAGCGGCCTTGATGCGCTTGAAGAACAGCTGACGGACCGTGCCCTGGAACTTGGGGGTGATCTTCTGGGGCTTCATGCTGATGTGCATGCGAGGCACGCTAACATCGCCGTCGGGCTTTTCAGCACCAGCAAGCATCCTACAGAAGGTCGTCTTGCCGGTTCCGTTCTCACCCATCATGACGACAATCTCCGAGTCCGTGAATTTGCCCGATTCAACCTTCAGGTGGAAGCCGCCAAGGGTCTTCTCCATGGTGGGGTAATAGAAAGCGCGGCCCCTATCGACAACATAGTCGTCGCCAGTCTCCGCGAGACGGAAAGTCAAGGACTCGTCGCGGAACCGAAGGTTCTCCGTCGGGATGTGGCCATCCAGGAAGATGTTGATACCTTCACGGACGGAGGACGGCAAGGTCACGACACCGTAAACGGCAGGCTTACCATAGAGCACGCAAACGAAATCGGACAAGTAGTCCAACACGGACAAATCGTGCTCGACGACGATGACATAGTCGTCGGGGCGCAGGAGTTCACGGATCGTGCGGGCAGCCGCCAAACGTTGCTTCACATCGAGGTAAGAGGACGGCTCGTCAAACATGTAGCTGTAATCCATGAGTATCCGCTGAAATGCCCAGTGAGGACGAGGAGAAGGTGGTTGCTTACACATCGGCTTGCTGGACACAGACCAGTCCAATGGCGAATCTCTGCAGCTCTCCACCCGAGAGGTTCTCAATGTCACGGCCCTCGACCTGGCGAAGCTCTATGCATATATTAGCACGACAGTAAGATAGGAGGGTCCGATTGACCAACCAAGAACGTCCAGAATGTGATCCAAGTTGTCCATCTGCGCACGAGCTTTGATAAGCGCTCCCACTTGCCGAACTGGACCCTTCACTGCCCGCGGGATCTGGTCGACATATTGGGGTTTCACGACCGCCTTCAAGTTATCCTCCAGGATCTTGGTGAAATAATCTAATCCAGTTAGCGATCACGACACGCTTTATTTTGCACTTCCGCGGGGAAATACGTACTCTGCAGCTCGGAGCCACGGAAGTACTTGAGGATTTCCTCCCAATCCGGCGGGTTATCATAGCGTCCCAGATTGGGCTTGAGCTTGCCGCTCAGGACCTTCAACGCCGTACTCTTTCCGATACCGTTTGTTCCGACGAGACCAAGAACCTGTCCGGGGCGAGGCATAGGAAGACGGTGGAGCTTGAAGCTGTTGGCGGAGTAACGATGGGTAACCTCGCTTTCCAGGTTGGTGGGCAAGTTGATGATATGGATCGCACCAAAGGGACATTTCTTGGGACAGATACCGCAACCGATACAGAGGCGTTCGGAGATGAAGGCGATTTTCGATTCGGGGGTGACTTCGATACACAGCTTACCCGTGCGGACGACGGGGCACGACTTTTTACACTCCTGACGACATTTCTGCAACAAGATTAACAGACGATTCCACGCAAAACCGAAGAGCCAGAAGTTCATACCTTGGGTTTGCACTATGGGACCAAAGAACATCCTTGTGAGCAAGTGAAGTGAGGGAAGATCGCGACCTGCAAGCGGGGCACAGCAAAACTCACCTTGTCACTGTTGACAATGGCAATACTGTAGAGATATTAGTCAAGGACAGATCCTGGAGGTCAATTGAAAGGGGTCCATCAGACATACCGAGTGAGCTTCTCAGACATGGTGCCGGTGTATAAAGATGAATCCACGCGCGGAAGAACAAGTAGACTTCAATGTATACAAAAACCACGGAAAGCACTCTTTGATGAGACCTCAACCTGATCAAATAGACGAGACCACGGCAGTTGTAAAACTGGCGAAAAAGAGAAAGAGTTCAGCCCCGAGTCTGCGCAGAGAGGTTGCCACCGGATGAGGAGCAAGAGGCGATGGAGGCGATAGGCTTTGAGGGGGAGCGTCGCGAAGAAGAGTGAGGGGCGCTTGAGGGAAAACTATGTCGGGCATTGTGGGCAACGCCGATCGCCTCAGGCACCCAGCCGGCCTCGAATTATTTCTGGTCCCGCTGATTGGTCCACCACGCCACCACCAAAATCTGACCGGAAAAACTATTCTGCGGTCCAGGTTGGCACGTGACTGTCACAAGATACTAACCGGATCGGGCCTCGCTTGTCGGAAACGCTAGGCTCAATTAAGCCTAGCGCAGAGTAGTGCAGCCTGAAGTCTCAGGCTGGCAGCCAGTCCCTTCACGGGGCGGTTCGCTCTCCCTCCAAGCCGACGTGCAACTCATCCGACTCTTTCTCCCTCCATCATCCCCATCGCTCCTCTTCGCCCTCCTCCTCCACCTCCTCCATCTTGTACTTTTTCTCTCCCCCCCCACCCCCACACTTTCTTTTTTTTTAATTTTCTTTTTCACCATTATATTGCTCGGTTCCCCTATTTCGGGGTCACCAAGCTATGGATTGTAAGTTTTCTCTTGGCTTTTGCTACTCTTCTCCAAACGTGTCCCGGGTGTTCGCCGCTGGAGTACTTCTCCACGGTATCGACCCACCGAAGAACCCTGATGAGTCCTTGGTATAGATCGGTTCGAGGGTTTTTTTGGCCTATTTCGATCCGGATCGATGCGTCTGGTTCATCTGGGCTTGGGTTAGGGGCCAGATGGTCCTCTGACGTTGCCATCTCTTGACCATCATCCTCCGTCGCGTTTCATCACATCTGCCATCAAAAATCATGCCCATACATCATACCTCATCTCCTACCTTGTTCACTCATCCGATTAGCTTCTAAATCCTGAAAACTGCGTCGCGTATCATCATATGATCATGCTATGTGCTTTTCATTGGCCCCCAAGCTTGTTTCGAGCTTCAATGCTGACGTCTTCCACCATCAATAGCAGCTAGCATGGTGATCCCATCTACCTCCGAACCCTCGGCGGCCATGCCGGTCACAAATGGTTATCCTGCCTCCCATACACCCGATGATCACAGCGATGAGCTAGAGCAAGCGGCTAGCGACAGCGCGAGCAACGCGTCAGACTCCGATGAGAACCACGCCGCATCTGATTCCCCCTCGGATGCTGATGGCGCCGACGAATCCTTTGATGCAGGTTCGCCGGATGCAGAGGGTGAAGAGGATGACTCTGCGATGGAGGATGATGCGAATGCGAGCAGCCCGTCCAATGCGGAAAATTCTTCCTCGTCGGAATCACACCGGGGGACGAAGCGCAAGTCGTCGCCCGTCAACGAGTCAGACTATATCCGACAAAATCCAGACTTATATGGGCTTCGTCGGAGTGGTCGAGCTCGCCTGACACGTCAACCCGCCGCAAGCGTCTCCGATTCCGACTCCGATGCCGTGGCACCCCGCGCGAAACGTCGACGCCCTGCGCCCTCGCAGCAGCCCTCGAAGCGCACCTCCCGCTCGGCCACCCAGTCGTCGTTCTCCGAAGAGTCGGACAGTGATGAATATGGCGGTAGTCGCGCGCGCACGAGCAAAGCTAAACGACGTCGACAGCTGCAATCAGCCACGAGTGCTCCGTCTCACGCCGAGGTTCGCTTCTCGACGAGAAACGCGAGTAGGGTCTCGAATTACAACGAGGATGATAATGAGGACGATTCCATGTTTGAAGATGACCCGGATGACCTTCCCCAAAGTTACTGGGTAAACCCCGTGGAGGATGATCGTCCGGCCGTGGATATCGTCCTCAATCACCGCCTCAAGGAGGGCGAGGACTTGAGCAATCTGAACCTTGACCGTCACGACTTCGAGTATTGCATCAAGTGGCAAGGCAAGTCCCACTATCACGCGACGTGGGAGACCACCGAGACCCTCGCCAACTGCCGGAGCACCCGTCGTCTTGACAATTACGTCCGGAAGGTTCTGTATGAAGACCTCCGCCTGAAGCAGAACCCAGACGTTCCCCCCGAGGATCGAGAAAAGTGGAATCTCGATCGCGAGAGAGACGTAGAAGCGATTGAGGATTACAAGCAAGTCGAACGCGTCATCGGTGTGCGTGAAGGCGACGAGGGCTCGGAATACCTCGTGAAATGGAAACGACTTTTTTATGACTCTTGTACTTGGGAGGACGAACAGCTTGTCAGTAAAATCGCTCAACGAGAGATAGACCGCTTCTTAGACCGCTCCTCACGCCCACCCATCTCGGACCGGATGGAGACCAACCCGTCCACGCGGAAACCATTCGAGACCATCAAAGGCACCCCGGACTTTTTGCAAAATGGCGAGCTGAAAGAATTTCAGGTCAAGGGTGTCAACTTCATGGCCTTCAATTGGGTCAAGAACCGCAACGTTGTCTTGGCTGACGAGATGGGACTGGGCAAAACCGTGCAGACCGTTGCCTTTATCAATTGGCTACGCCACATCAGGAATCAGCAAGGGCCGTTCGTCGTGGTCGTCCCGCTTTCCACCATGCCGTCGTGGGCGGAAACCTTCGACCATTGGACCCCTGATTTGAACTATGTCGTCTACAACGGTAACGAGGCCGCTCGCAACGTCTTGAAAGAGCACGAGCTCATGGTCGATGGCAACCCTAAACGGCCCAAGTTCAACGTCTTGCTCACGACCTATGAGTACATCTTACTCGACTCACCCTTCTTGAGTCAGTTCAAGTGGCAGTTCATGGCCATTGACGAAGCTCATCGACTGAAAAACCGGGATTCTCAGTTGTACATTAAGCTTCTCGAGTTCCGGGCCCCCGCACGTCTCCTCATCACTGGCACCCCCATCCAGAACAATCTGGCTGAACTCTCTGCCCTGTTGGACTTCTTGAACCCTGGCATGGTCGATGTCGACGTTGACATGGACTTGAACTCCGACCAGGCATCTGAAAAATTGGCACAACTCACCCAAGCCATTCAGCCATTCATGTTGCGCCGAACCAAGTCGAAAGTGGAATCCGATCTCCCGCCCAAGGTTGAGAAAATCATCCGCGTAGAACTCTCCGACGTTCAGTTGGAGTACTACAAAAATATTCTGACCAAGAATTATGCCGCTTTGAATGATGGCGCCAGAGGACAGAAACAGTCTTTGCTAAATATCATGATGGAGCTGAAGAAGGCCAGCAACCACCCGTTCATGTTCCCCAACGCCGAGGCCCGGATCCTGGAAGGCAGTACTCGCCGAGAGGATGTCCTTCGGGCCATGATCACCAGCAGTGGCAAGATGATGCTCCTTGATCAGCTTCTCACCAAGCTCAGAACCGATGGTCACCGTGTTCTGATCTTCAGTCAGATGGTCAAGATGCTGGATATCCTGGGAGATTACATGGAGTTCCGTGGCTATTCATATCAGCGCCTTGATGGCACCATCCCCGCGGCATCTCGCCGCCTGGCCATTGAACATTACAACGCTCCCAATAGCAGTGACTTTGCCTTTATCCTGTCCACGCGAGCCGGTGGTCTGGGTATCAATCTGATGACCGCAGATACCGTCGTTCTTTTCGATTCCGATTGGAATCCACAGGCCGATCTCCAGGCCATGGCCAGAGCCCACCGGATAGGTCAGACGAGGCCAGTCAGTGTGTACCGATTAGTCTCCAAGGACACGGTAGAGGAAGAAGTGATCGAGCGAGCGCGGAACAAACTTTTGCTCGAGTTCATCACGATCCAGCGTGGTGTCACCGACAAAGAAGCCTCCGAGATTCAGAACAAGATGACTCGCGGTGGTAAAACCATGGGCGAACCGAACTCCACAGATGATATCTCTCGAATCCTCAAGCGTCGTGGCCAGAGAATGTTCGAACAGACCGGAAACCAAGAAAAGCTGGAGCAGCTCGATATCGACTCTGTACTGGCAAATGCCGAACTGCACCAGACGGAACAGGCAGAGGAAATTCAGGCCGACGGTGGCGAAGAGTTTCTTAAGGCGTTTGAATACGTCGATATCAAAGTGGATGACCTCTCGTGGGATGACATCATTCCTAAAGAACAATTGGAGGTGATCAAGGCCCAGGAAAAGAAGAAAGAGGACGAACGTTACTTGGCCGAAGTTATCGAGCAAAACCGGCCGCGCAAGCGTAATACTCCTTCAGACGAGAGGGATTCACGCGAAGAACGGAAAGCCAAGAGACGAGCAAGAGCCCAAGTCAGCATTGATAACGGGGATGAATCAGACTCGAACGTCCAGGCGGATCCGAAACGGCCGCTCATAGAGAAGGAATATCGCCATCTACTCCGGGCTTTCTTGCGTTACGGGGATATAGTAGACCGGGAGGAGGACGTTGTTCGCGAGGCTCGTCTACTGGACCGTGACAGGGAAACTGTCAAAACGGCTCTTCATGAAATAACCGACAAAGCAGAGAGCCTAGTGCGAGAGGATGTCCAGAAGTTAGAAGCGCTTGAGCAATCCGGCAAAGTGCCAACAAAGAAGGAAAAGAAGGCCGTGTTGTTCGATCTCCGTGGTGTCAAGCGCCTTAATGCTTACACCATCGTTGAACGCCCGGCTGAGATGCGTATCCTGAGGGAAGCGATGGCCGCAGTTGATGATATCAAGAACTTCCGCGTCCCCGAAGCGACCAAGGCTGCCGATTATTCATGCCCATGGGGCGCGCGAGAGGATGGGATGCTTTGTGTCGGTATCGCACGACACGGTTATGGTGCTTGGACCCAAATACGCGATGATCCGGACCTTGGCCTCGGAGACAAGTTCTTCCTCGAGGAGCACCGGGTGGAGAGAAAGAACGAGCGTCTGAACAAAGACGATAAGACCACCAAGTCACCGGGGGCTGTGCATCTCGTTCGCCGAGCCGATTATCTGCTCTCAGTTCTGAAGGACAAGGTAACGAACGGGTCGAGCGTCACCGCCAAGAGGGCAGTCGAAAACCATCATCGCAATAACCGCAAGGGATCCCGTCAGAACGCCAGCACCAGCGTTTCCGCCTCTCCTGCTCCTTCGCTTTCTCGCAAAGGTCATCGCGATGTCGACCGGCCAAGGCACCGTTCTCACACCCACGGTTCACGGGATAGCGTCGAACGGCATCACACTCCCGGCCACGACCGTCCAAGGTCCACACATGACAGTGACCGGCCCCGCCACCGGACGTCTGATGTTTCGACTGAGGAGAACCGTCGCCGGAAGAACAGTGAGAATGGCCATTCTGCGGGTAAGGAGGACATGTCTCGGCTGTTCTTTAAGCCCATCCGGGACGATCTCAAGCGGGTCTCGGGTGTTACCAAGGAAAACATCCCGAATAAAGCTGAACGGGCTTCTGAACTTCGGCGTTTGCTTCGACTGATCGGCGACTTCATTGATCGCACGCTCCAGGGAGAAGGGTCTCTGTCCTCCCTGGAAACACGTTTATGGTTCGTTTTTTCTTGATTCTGGATATAATCCCGGCATCCCCGACTAATCTTCTGAATAGGCACTACGTTGCAGAACACTACTGGCCCAACAAGGAGGCCGCAGGGACTAAACTCCACGAAATGTACAAAAAGCTCATGGCAGCCACAAATGCCTCTTCCAACGGGAAGTAAGCGCAGTGCGCGGGAGCCGGATGGAGAAAACAGCGCCGACGATTTCCTTTCGTGGGGGCGGTGTTCTCACATCTTTTTTCATTTCATTTCTTTTTTATTCATTTCTCTTCTGTCAATTTTATTCGAGGTAAATATGCATCATTGGGTAAGCATGGCGACGGCGTCCGGTATGATCTACGAAAGGAGTCTTCCAAAACACGAGTGTGGATTTGACATGATGTTTTTGCATGACAGTGTTTTAGCTTTCATGTTTTTTTCCCCCGCGGCGATTTGTCCCCCTACTTATTGGAGCGATGGGCATTTTTGGTTCTTCACATACATCTCTGTTCACACACCTACACACCTACACACTCACACTCACACTCATACATACACTCACATGTGCGCGCACATATCATGGTACCTCCTTTCATGAATGATTGGGCCCAGATATGTGCAGCTGTGCTGTGCTGTGTCATGTTGTGTTTTCCTTTACTTTACCATGCTTGTCTCTTTTTTCCCCTTAATCCATGTACCCCAGGCCCCCTTAACTGGCGCCAGCCCCGGCGGTTGTATTTCTCCCTACTACCTATCTACCCCTTCATGTATGTTACTATTACCACAACTACTACTGATGATGACGGACGTGTGGCCCCCGGGTTTGGTTTGCCATTCTCCACGGCAGGGTAACCGTCCCTACACTGCTAGACCAGGGTTTCGATTTCATTCATTGAATGAAATAATGGATGGTTAGGATTTCATATTTTTTTGGTCTCTTGTTTTCGATTGAATTGGATATTAGGATGCAGTAAGTAGTAAGTATGCAGTAGGTACTAGTGTGGTTATTCTGAGCACAAAGAAGGGAATCATTGTGTTTGATTGAGCTAAAGAAAAACGAAAGTAAGATACTAATGAAGCAAAAGAAGTGTGGAGTGATTTGCATCTTTCCATAATACAACGCAATTTTTACCCTATCCTTTCCTATCCATTCCTATCCTATCCCATATAATATAGTAGTCAAAATAAATATGAAAAGCTAGACCTGGAATACAAAACGAAAAAGTGAAAATGAAGAATGAAAAGAATAGAGCCTGACTCCGAAAGCAAAGGGCTAAAAAGGAAGAAAAGGAAGAAAGAAAGAAAAAAAATGCAATCGAATCTCGCGAATGGATCCATCCTAGATCGTGGAGATTAAAAGGTTGATAAGGTAGTTATGTAAAGTAAAGTGAAGAGACAAGAGAAGAGGGAAGGGAAGCGAAGGGAATTGAGGCTGGTCTGAGAGGATGGATGGAATATAAGGTAGGAGGGGAAAAGGAAAAGAAGAAAGCCAACGAGGAAACAAACGGCATCATGGTATAATCAATAATTTTTTCAGGCAGCGACTGGTTCTGATTCCAGGTTGGGTTTCACCTCTGTGGGACCCTGGTCCTCTTCGTCGTCGTCGTCGGTGTCTTCGTCGGAGTCGGAGTCATCGGAGTCATGCCGTTGTTGCTGCTGTTGTTGTTGTTGTTGCTCTTGGTCTCGCTGTTGTTGTTCTTGTTGCAGTTGTTGCTGCTGCTGCTCCGCTGAAGGCTCCTCTATCCCATTTGCGGCAGTGCTTACCCCCACCGCCGGGGTAACAGGTACGCCCTCGTTAGCGACGAGGGCGCTGAAGAGCCTAAGTTGGGCATCGATCACATCGTCAAAGATGGCTTCCTTCTCTAGCCACGCGTGCTTCCTCTTAGGCCGAATCTTCTCCCACTCGCTGCGCAGTTCCACACCCTCCTTCTCAGCCCAGTGAATTTGCCGACGGAGGAGTCGGTATAGGTCGCGCGGCGGCAGTTGCAGCTCGTGGTCGTCGAAGCCCGACTCCTGGCTGAACTCGGGCAGCTCGAATTCGTCGAGATCGTCCCCGGCCGCCGTGTGGAGGTGGTGGTCTTCGGGGGCGCTCTCGCTGAACCGCTCGGGTTCGTCCCGCGGCGGATGCGACAGCTTCAGCTTGATGCGCTGCACTTTGCTGGCGGGGGTGCTGGTGGGCGTGCCGACGGCGGAGAGCGGCGCGCTGTGGTATTTGGAGACGGGGTCGGAGGGCCGGAGGGCTTCGGTTTCGTGGACGGTGCGCATGTGTTTGGCTAAGGCATCGGAGCGCGTGAAGCTGCGATCACATTCTTGGGTGTGTCAGTAGGGTAAACTAGAGTGAATTGGTCGGGCGAAGGATGATTGTGATGAATTGGGATGAATGATAGGATGAACTCTCACCTGGAAGGGCACAGTAGAAAGGCTTCTCGCGGGTGTGACTCCTCATGTGCGCGCGTAGGGCGTACCCGCTCGCATGCGACTGGCCCTTTCGAGAGCAATCGGACCACTCGCAGGAGTAGCGCTTCTGCCGGCTGCCGACGTGATCGTTGTGGATGTGCTCGACGAGAGCGTCCATGTTGCCCAGATCGCCGACGTCGCAACCTTCCCATCGGCACACGGTCACCTGGTCGTTTCCCAATCCACTGTAGTCGTCGTCCTGGCTGCCGCCGATGAGGGCCAGCGTGCTGGGGGAGTTGGGGAGTTCGCCCGAGGTGTCCGAGGAGATGGAGCTGGAGGGCGACGCGGGCGGCTGTTCTTCCTGGAAGGAGGTCGACACGGGGGTGTTGCGATCCCAGGATGCGACGCCGGTGCGACGGCGCTTGGATGGAGGCATGTTGGCTGTTGAGGGCGAGAAGCCTTGCTTTAGATCCTCGCGGTCCGACAGGTCATCGGAGGCGATCGACGAGAGGGGAGAACCGGGGGAGTCCGCCATTTGGACGGTGGAAGAAAATATGGGGAATGTAGAATGAAAGGGTGGTCAATTGGGAGTGACAGGAAGGGATAGGATGGTCGAGACAAGGGATGGGAGAGATGGCAATCCAGATGGAAATGAAGTTGGTCCGATCTGCGGTATCCTTGGGGAGCTTCGAGTATACGGGGTGGGTAGGGGGCACGTGATGAGGCTATTGATCAAAATCTCGTCCGCTTTTTTTTTTTTTTTCTTCTTTTCTTCCTTCTTTTCTCTCTCCATTTCCCATTCTGCAAATATCTTATTCGACGTCTTCATGTGCAATTCACTAACTACAGGGTAAGTCGATTATACTACTTCTGCTTCCTACATGATGATTTTCTTTTTAAGAATTCTGCAATTCTGACAGTCTCCTTCATTGTGAGACTGCATGTGGACCTCTCTACACTTGATCTGATCACTTCCAATTCATTGTCACAAGTCTGCTTTATTATACTTGATCCAGTATACTGACAGTTACAGTCTCTTAGATACACTACGCATGATCTTACACTTAGCTCACTTTCTGCTCAGCGGCCAGAATGTTAGATAGACCGGCTTCAATATAATGCACTACCCTCAATTCTTAATCCTGATATTTGCTATTACTATTTCTGTTTTCGTTCCTGTCTTTAAAACATCACTCGCTCCTGATACGTGTCGAATCCAGAGATGGCATATGCAATGAGAGTTCATGCCCTTCATAGATAAGACGACAGTCATATCTCCACGTAGTATACAATATAAGAGTCATATGTGCGGATGGGCGATTTGACTTGACCTGTGACCTAGTCATTGCATGTCTTTAGTTCATAAAGTTCACATCTCTGCTAGGATAGCCGAGCTTATGACTAGCAGATTCCAGTACGTTGCAAATAAATCTGTCGTGAGTGGAATTCTTGTTTGTGTTAATCATGGTCTCTACGGACCGTAATATACAATCAAATCAAACAAAAGAAAAAGGCATAGTAGAAGAGGAAGTTCCCATCCCCTCATAATTTTCAAGAGCCGAACAAGTCAATCTTCCAGCCAACCTTTAGGGATACCGAGACCCCACCACCTCATGTCGCTGCAGAATCTCCTCAAGCTCAGCCATATCGGCATCAGACAGACGAGGTGCCTGCAAGTTCTGCCTGACCTTATCCCTGGTAGTACCACCAGGGATGGGAATGATAGTCGGCATCCCAGGCCTATCATTAAGGCTAAGCACCCAAGCCAGGGCGATCTGAGTCGCAGCGAAACCCTTACGCTCAGCAAGGTTCTGGACCTCTTTCACGAGCTTGGAGTTCTGCTCCATGGCTTCGTCTTGGAAGCGGGGCAGCCAGCGCCGGATGTCGCCCTCGGGGAGCGTGGAGGCGTTGGTGAACGCGCCGGAGAATACGCCGCGGCCGAGGGGGGAGTATGCCACGAGGGGGATGTCGAGCTCGGCGCAGGCTATGATGACGTCGTTGTCGAAGGTGTGGGTGTCCCATAGGGACAGCTCGACTTCGACGGCTGCGATGGGGTGGACCTTGGCTCTGCTGGAGTTAGTTTTCTTATCTTCTGAAACGTAGTGGGGTAAAGAACGCGGAAAAGGTTGCACGATAAATAGAACATACGCGCGCCGAATAGTCGCCCCATCAACCTCACTCAGGCCAATCCCGCCGATCTTCCCTTCCTTGACAAACTGCGCCAGAATGGTGACCGTCTGCTCGACCGTCGTGTTGGGGTCCTGGCGCGCGCACTCGAAGATATCAATGGATTTCTTCCCGTCGAGCAAACGGAGACACTCGTCGACGCTGCGGCGGATGTTGGCCTCGGAGCCATCGATGACGAACGCGTCGGGTTTCAGTCCGCCCTTGATACTGAGGACCACCTGGCTGGCCTTTTCAGGGTACTGGGTGAAGTACTTGTTGAGCAGGTGCAGCGAGTTGTAGTCGGGGGTGCCGTAGAGCTCGCCGCCGTTCCAGAAGTTGGAGCCCAGCTCGAGAGCGGTGTTGAGGGTTTCGAAACATTGCTCAATTGGGGGAGGTTGCGGGACCCATGTCATTCCTTGAGAAGATGGTTAGCATTTGAAGACTGGATTTGGTTTAGTTGGCGTTTTGTGGATGGACACACTCATAAGGCCATAGCCAGTGTGGCCGATTTCTTTTCCAATAATTGAAGGCATCGTGGCAGGTTCGAAGTGTCTGTGTAACGATTTTCTATTTGTAGAGTTCAGTGATGAGAGTAGAATGTAATTAAGCGGGGCTAATTGTTGGAGAGAAGTTTTGGATAGCGGGAGTTAGCGATCTATTTAACTTGACCCTCTAACACTACAATTCCGGGGTTAACAATCAATCTCCATCTAGACCCCGGATTTTGACAACGGCTGACCGATCGTAATGGAGTCGTTGCCTAGTAGGCCTATTCTGATCTGGCCATGAGGAAAGATTCGATATCCAGTCTAAAGGATTGAGAGGAGGACATTGGAAATAGTTGGCGACGACCGAGACGGACTTAACATTGAATTATCGCCGGATCCTACGTCATTGATAAGAAGAGCCTACAATGACACCAACAACATCAGAAACGACAATAACAATAAGAATGCAATCGCATAGTTAACCAATATTTCATAATCACCACGGCTTTCCATCGAACTCCCCAGAACCAAGCCATCCCCTCTTCCCGACCCCATTCCCCTCTCTGATCCTGACATGATTCCCCCCCGCCTAAAGAGTCACCTCATCACTGCTATGCATAGCCTGCCCCAGCTTACTCGACAGTATATCAACCATAGCACCCAAAAACTGGCCCGGCTTCTCACTCGGGTCCGGTAAATCATTGTGCTCCCCCCTGTGCGTGGTATTTGGCAGCGCAGATTTATTATTCTGGTGCGAGGTGACGATCGGCTGGGTGATGTTGCTGCCGTCGATCACGTCCGGGTCGTTGTTATTTTGCTTCCAGTTTTCCAGCTTGTTAAGACGGGCGAGGCTGTCAAGGCCAACTTTTCTGAAGATGTCTCCAAGGAGATCTCCCGTGCCGGGAATCATGCGCTGTTAGATGACTTGGTGGTTAGCAGAGTTCCTTTCCTTTTCTTTCCCTTTTTTTTCATTTTTTTTTTTTTTTTTTTTCAGAGAATAGATGATCTTCTTCTCTAGGTTCATAAAGTATAACCATACCGGATCGGGTGATCGTGCATCCAGTGATCGCAAGCCTTCCCTCGCTACCGAAGCAATGGGACGAGTCTCGCTCAGCAGCGACAACGCTAGGAAGGCAACGAGGCAGACGCAGAGACGAGACACGGCTTTGGTAATTCTCGCCATAATGACAGGAGTAGTCCACAGTAGGGCTGATGATCCGGGGAATCACGGTCTATGAAAGTTGTCGTAAGCTAGTGTAGACGTAGGGCAGAGGTAGATCGCTTTGGAAGAAGGGATTGAAGAGGATCAGCGGGCACCCGTCAAGCTAGGCTGTCGAATGCTACATATACTGGGTAGAAGGGGGCGCTCATTCTCCCTAGTTGATACCTGCCATCCCTGCGCGTACTTGGTTCCTGTGTGGAATGGAATTGATGAGCGAGAAAGTCGCTTGGCTCAAATTCCATATTTTCTTATCCCGAGTCTTGTTTCGGGTTCTCTAGGGTTGATTGAAGGTTGAAAGGTGTAAGTTCTCAGGTGGTATTTGATTTTTAAGTCATGAAAGCGAGTTAACAACCACCTGGAGGCTAGTTCGTCTTCAGCTACTGACAATAATGCTCTTCAAGTATAAGGAAGACAGCAATTGAGAATTTGCAGCTCAATATCTTCTTCACCCAGCTCTCTAGCGATAACTATTTTTCCAAGGGAAGGAAGGGATGGACGGCAAGGCGAGCAAGGAGGGCATTCACATTCCAGCTCCACAACCAAACACTGACGAATTCCGTGTTTACATGAATCATGTGCCGGTCGTGAGGATGCATCGACTTCTCCGAGGACACAAGACGGGTGTGCCGCGTTGTATCTTTTCCCGAGAGATCAGTCGTCTTGCAGATGGACACTCTCACTTGTCTATCTCGCTGGTTGTTCTAAGTTCCTAAATAATTGTTACTACTGCCTTTTAATTGATTGAACTTCTCGATTGTCTTTTCTCTTCGCGTCTCTCATACTTTCTAGTTGGTTATCACCATTTTAACATTCCAATTTTGGTACATACCTTCAGGATTTATTCATACCTTGAAGAACTTGAAGCATCCCAGCCACAACACAGCAGCGTATCTCAACAGACAATAAATCAAGTAGGCCCAAAAGATAGCGAAACCAAAAAGGAAGCGTGACATCATCATGCCCGCACATGTAGCACAGAAAAGGCGCCACAAGGGATGCGCAAACCATATCTTCGTCCCTATACCAAATGGTGCAAATAACACGAAATTACCACTCGGCCATCAAGGTTATCAGAGAACTTTTGGTTCTTGTCAGTATCTCTATGCTCAAGTGCGACTCAAGCATACACTGTCATAGGTAGTTGAGAGTTTTGCAAGACTCGCAGGAACGAGTCACCTAGACATAAATAGAACCAAGTCCGCTCGTAAACTATTTCGGTTTCTTATCGGGCTGTAGATCAATATCAACCTTGGTCATTCCCACACCCCGCTGGGTGTGAAGGAGGCTACATACTTCCCCTATTGGGGAACACAGTGACATGTCACTAGTTTGAAAGGTACTTTGGGCAAATCATGGTCACTGATAGGTGCATTCTCTGACGTGGCGGCTAGGGAACATGTATTCAAATTATATTCCCTCGACAAAGCATAAATAATAATGGAATAGCTCAACAGTCCAAGCACACAGGGAGGTCTAGACGTGGGGCAATAGAAAACGAGCGGTCAGTTTTGAAGTATACAAGAGGAAAAGTCAGACTGGTAAGCACAGAATATCGGATAGGATTGGAAGAATATGGAAAATTAGAAGCAAGAGATCAAAATAACAAGAATGGTCTGTATATTAAAGTAGGTATACTTAATGTTGATGCTGACAGCAGTGATAGTTGATATGATATGGGGTGGTCATGCCGACATCGGCACTAACTACACCCCGCGCTCACTCCATGACCCGAGGCAATCCACAGATCCCCCGACCCGAATGAGGTCACTCTACGCAAACAACTTCTTTGAGAAACACATCACAAGACACCAATACTTCCTCAAATCACACTCAACCACACTTACCACCACTCAGTCCACCATGTCCTCCAACCCCACAACCGCCGAACTCTACGAGCAAGGTCTCCAAACCCGCCGCGCCGTCGTCGGCGAAGCCCACGTCGAGCGCTCCCTCTCCAGCGCAAACGCCTTCACACGACCCATGCAAGACATCGTCACCGAATTCGCCTGGGGCAACGTCTGGAACCGCCCGGGCCTCGATCGCAAACAGCGCAGCCTGATCAACATCGGCATGCTGACGGCGCTAAACCGCTCGCTCGAGCTGGGGGTGCATGTGCGCGGCGCCGTCAACAATGGGCTCAGCGAGCTGGAGATCCGCGAGGCTATTATCCACGCTACGGTTTATTGCGGGGCGCCTGCGGGAATGGAGGCCATGCGGACGGCGGATCGGGTGCTGGCTGATATGGAGGAGAAGGGAGAGATGGTGAGGGAGTTGAAATGATCCCCTCGCTCCATTGTGGCCGAATTTCGGTTGTCTGTATTTTTTACCTCATTCATTTAGTCAATCTCGGTGCGAGCGGGCTGGTGGTGCCTTGGTTTATTGTGTCTTTTGCTGCGTGGGTGAGACTGCTGACTCCTAGTCGATGGAGATGGACATCCCCGAGACGAAATTGTACATAACTGAGTCTCGAATCTTTGTTCGACGTTCCCGGACGGAGCTGAACGGAGAAGATTCTGTACAACCGTGCGGTCATCTTGATGCCTGATCAGAGCTGTTTATCAGATTGCAACCAACGTGCCTAACTTCCGGTATAGATAGAGAGACATCTTGTTATGCACATCCTTCGGAAAGGGATTTGCTTTTGAGCTGATCTTGGTAGGCGCATCGCGCATTGGACTGCTGTCGCGGCCCAGTAGGACATAGCATTGTCAAAAGGTATGCCATTGTCAAGGAAAAAGAAAAGAAAAGACAAGAAAAAGAATATGAATATGAAAAAGGGCATAGAAAAGAGGAGGGAAAGAGAGAACGAGACCAAAGAAAAAGGAAGGAAAAGAAAGCTACTCGCTCTGATCAAAACAGCCCGTCCGCATCGCGACCAGACCGGCCCGGGCAGTTAGATGAAGACGTAGAAGCTCCCGGTCTTTCCGTGCCCGTCAAACACATTGGCCAGCGTGACGAATTCCACACATCCGTACTATCATAGTGTTTACGGATCCTACCAGATCCCCTAAGTAAAGTCTCCCACTTGACGTCGGGAGTGTTTAGGATCTCGCGCTAATAGCGATTCTCATCCTGATCCGCGAGAGTTATCAATCTACTGGATAGAGATGCAGTGACGAAGCAGGAACTGGCACTATCGATCTGCAGACGAGGGGATTTCCATTTCAACCACGAGACGCCAACCGGGTGGGCAATATCCACATTCCACAATTAGTTCTGCACAAGAAGCTTCAAAAAGTCTCCGAGAATTCCAGGCCGTACTAGAGAAGCAGATAAGGATAAAATAAAAACAAATTCATAATTTATGGAACGGACGGGCAAGGATGATGGGGTCATGTATGATACCGTGGCAAAACAGGTTAGATTACCGGAGATAACGCACCTCAAGATGCCGAGTACCTGGTTTGGTTTGGTTTCCTGACGGGTAAGACGGATGGCGGACGGGGTCTTTTTCCTCGGGTTGGCTTTACCAAAGCCCTAACTACCGGACAAGGTTTCGGACCCTGAAGATCGCGACGGCGGTTTCATTGGACTCACGGTTGACCGAATGTGGCCGGCATCTTATTCAACCAGATATCTCTTTTTTTTTGTTTTTTGTTTTTTTTTTTGCAGTGGAGTAGAGTGTTCTCATTACCAGACTACGGTCAAGAGAGGTACCCCATTTCTTTTTGAGGACTCATGGGGAGACTGTCTAGCAGGATAGCAAATAATCATCAGCCGTCGAGGCTGAACCCATACTAATGCTAGCAGGCTCCATGCCCGCCTGGAGTCTGGACCCTTCCCACCCTGCCCGTGCGGAGGCTTCAAGGCCATGGCGCAGGGTTCCCAGACATCCAAGACCAAAATTGGTTCTACCGTCGGTGACTGGAGAACGAACTCTCCGGTGGCTTTTCTTTTCTTTTCTTTTCTTTTCTTCTCTTTTCTCCTCGGAATACAAGATTACAAACATCGCCACCCCAGTACGTGGTGCTTACTCCTGTATCAAACTAGTATATGTATAAAACCAGCCAGCCCTGGAAGGAGATATCGGAGAAATCTCAAGGTGGGGGGGGAACAATGGCATTGATAGGTACCCCTTTGCTGTTATGATACCTAGGCAGTTACACAATCGGTAAATGTCTCACTAGCAGTAGCCTCACCAGCGCTGGAAGAGCCTAGTTGTCGGTGCTGGGTTGCTGCTCCTCTGGTTGGTATTGAGATGATCATCTGCAGTTCCAGGTCTAAGCCACGGTCTGATAATCACAGGATGGTATGAGTTGCCGAGGAAGATAATATGAGTAACGGTGCTCATCAGTAATCAATCAATAATCATTACCTTGAATCAAGTCCTGTCCAGCAATGGATGTCTTGTGGATATTTCAGTTCCCTGCCTTATGTGGACGGGAACGGCCAACTCCGATATATCGAGACCCATGGGACAGAGCCACCCTAGATCTGGATCATACGGCGACGATGATGGTTCTTGGAAATGTGGAGTTCAGGGTTCCGCTTACCAATCGGTAATTAATAATAACAGAAAAAAAATAGAATGGAATAAAATAAAAAACAGATGTCAATTCCATACGAGTACGAGGGATGAAACTCGGAAGGATGTCTGGGATCGCCTCCCGTACTGGTTTGGTGCAACTTAATGGGCGGACGTTATGCACAATAATTGTTCATTATGGGATTTGGGTGGGTGGGTTATGCCAACCCTCGATTAATTACTAGTGGGTGCAGGTCTTCGGGATGACCCCGAGGTTAGTACTAGGTTGTTGGTACCTGGGTAATTAATTAACAGGACGAATATGTGGTGAGTGGGTATTGCTCCCACTTAGTGACCTGACCCTGATGGTTTGACTGACTTGATTTGACTGAGTTGACGGACTTCCAAGACATGCATGCACCCGGCTGTATACGGCTTGCTCTCAAATCCGTCCTGTCCAGGTCGGAGCAGATTGACATGCCCGACGAGACCGTATGCTGGGTCTACATACATAGTACAGGTCGATCGCTGATCACTTCTTGGCATCACATCAGGATTCTTGCGGGATGTTTGTTACCCGTGCTTTCCAGCTTGTCATCTCCTCTACCCTGCATCGGACGGTGTACAGTGTACTCCGTCGGGGTGGTCGTCGCCAACCCCCGTGTGCATCTTTCTTTGCCACCCCGTCGTGCAACCTCTGTAGGACCCGGGGACTGATTGTCTGGAACCAAAGTCGGAATAGCCGGTCGTAGCCCCAGTCAATGGTTTACTGTAAATGTTAGAGTCTCACTGTAGGGCCTCTCTATGTGAGACCTATATCTACGTGAACGCCATAACCTAGCACAAACTAGGTAGACGGAAGAAGCCGCAGCTGCGCCTCCCAGCGGGATGACGTTGCCGACGGCCGTCAAGCGCCCATATGAAAAAGTCATTAGCCCCTCCTGAGCAGAACAAGGCTGTGTCAGAACAATGCTGACCAGAAAAAGTAGGGGTCAGGTATAGCCGGGCTCCGCTCGTGACACCTGCTCGGACATGCTGTCGACGGACGGATTACCCCCGAGGGAGCCCTAAAAGGCGAAGAGATGTGGGGACAGCCCAGCCATTAGATAATGGTGAGTCACGATTCCCGGTCCGAGGCCTGCCCATTGTAATTCCATTGCTCGGGCAGCGCTGGTCAAATACCATGGACACGAGAGAGAGAGTGAGAGAGAGTCGGATATGCAAGGGATGGTAGGGCCACGTTTTAATGGCTTGACAGGCTGTCTTGTCTCCAGTGAGCTACGTACGGCCCTTTGCCTGGCTGGTGATGCGGGTGGGACTCGCGACGAGTGGATATAAGCTTTTGCATGTGCTCCATTGGGGGAGAGAATATGTTGTTCGATCCCCGGTGCAGGGAGGTGGGCTTTATCGATCTGTTGATCTTTTGATAGGATGTCTGCTATTCGGTGTGCGAGTAGAGTATGTATAGATGTGTTGACGGTGGCATACCCACGTCATATGGCCTCTACGGAAGTAATGGAGGTGTAATACCGTTACGCAGTAAAGTTTACGCCGGTGCAGGAACCATAACCTTGCTTTTTGAAGTGGCCTTGATGTAACTGGTGCAGTTCGTACAGGGATATTAATAATGCTGATTAAAAATAAAAAAAAACCAGGGAAGTAAAACCAAATAAGATTGACACTAATCATAGTAATCAATCAAGAATAAATCTCATCCAAGTGAATAATGTTGCCTACCGGAGCTCCACCCAGACTAAACTACTAGTTAGGGGACTCCGTTGTACGGGTCCTTTGGGCCCGGGTACTTTGTTACTTGTGCCTGTAATTGTATCCGTGGATAAAAACGGGGACTTTTACTTTACGGAACGGAACTGGCCAGAGCTTCCTGGCAGTATGAGAAAGAGAGCGAGAGAAACAGAGAAACAGACCCTGGACTCGGACGGTTTCATGATGCTTCTTCGCTTGCTCTTCTGGTCATCATCTGATTTGCCTGTGCTTAATCTATTCATCCTATCTTAGCTGTCACGTCGCTTGTCTTCTCACCTCCGACTGACTGTCTCCATTTCGCTTCATCGTCTCCTCTTTTTCGTTCTTTCATCTTTCTTTCCCTGTCCTTCATTCCCTCTGTTGATATTCTTCTTCTTCTTTGACTTTCTCTTTTTCTTATCTTCTCTCGTGCCTTCTTTCCTCTTTGATCTATATTGATCTGATCTATACTACCACGATCGACAATCTACTACTACTTCTACTGCGACTACTTCCGTTCCTCACTCTAACTTCGTCCCATATATTTATCAACATCGCACTTCATTTGAACTCAACACTTCTTTGGAAGATCGTTACTAGAATCTTCCCCTTGTCTTCATTCTGAAATCTACCCTCCGTTTGAGTTACCCGGGGAGATAACTTGAACGTCGTTGGATTTCTTTTTCTTGTTTCAACCCTGCAATACGCTCAGGCCGATTTTCAATCGCTATTCGAGGGACACTTTCGATCCCTGTCCCCAAGATCCCTGCCAACAAAGAGGAGGGGACCCCTTGTCGAGGACCACGATTCTTTATTTGGTTGGCGTTGGGCCGCCGACGGATTTCATTCGCCTCAGAACGTGGGAGAGCGCAGCGGCATCTCCATCCGAGTCGGCAGGAGATTCAAACAATCCGTCGATTCCTGTCAGATCTGGACCCAGGTATCTATCTACACAGATCCGACGGGCGTTACACGAAAAAGGAAAAATAAAATAAATAAAAATTAAATAAAAAAAGAAGAGGCAAACATCTTTGAAGACATTCGGTGCGTCCTGCGTCCTTTTATTCTTTCGCCACTTCCCTCCGGTCTCAGACTGCGATCCCTCGCCGTGCATGTTTTTGAATTTGTCTCTCACCGGTGCCGGAGTACCTACGATCGGGTGTGTCACAGAGGGAAGGGGCATCGGACATCAACGAGGTCTTGTGGCTTGACTAACTCTCCATTCAGCAGCTGTCTTTTTTCTCGTTGTCCCGGGGAGTGTTAGAAATGTGCTCCAAGGCGAGCCTGGTCTCCATCTTGAACAATGATGATAACCCATCATTCGCGGTCCGCTCGGCACCTAAGATATACAGACATCATTCTAGCCCATCATATCCCTATGCGCCGGAGCAACAACTACAGCCACCAGCGTCCGATGCATCTCACGGGAACACATACATCAATCCATCCGGGGCAAAACCAAGGATGATGCGTCACCCCTTCGACCCGGTGTCCGAAGCCGCCCAGCCCGCATCCCCAGGCTCGTCAGATTGCTCCTATGATTACACGTCCAGCGGGGGCTCGTATTTCCACTCAACGCGCCCAGAGCCCTACACCTACCCACCCTCCGCAGCGCGGGAGCGAGAAAAACGCCTCAGCGGGAGCTCCGTGGTGGACCCGCCGTCCCCCCAGACCTCCATCAACGGATCGAAGGAACCCATGGCACCGAAAGGCATCACTCGAAAGAACAAGTACCCCTGCCCTTTTGCCGCAAGCCACGGCTGCACAGCGACCTTTACCACCTCGGGGCATGCGGCCCGACATGGAAAAAAGCATACGGGCGAGAAGAGCGTGCACTGTCCGATCTGCGATAAGGCATTCACACGCAAGGACAACATGAAACAGCACAGACGCACACATCGAACACATTCGGAGAGCATGCCAATGGAGATCGAAGGGGATAACGGGGGGAGTGGGCCTTCCTGGACGTCCCAGCGGAGCAACCCGGTTTACGGTCATCGGCGATCGATCAGTCAATCCCGGACGGACCGGCCTTCGTATGACAGCATGGCCATACATCCTATTCCTCCGGGGGGGCGGACATCATGAACAGCCACGCGGGACCATATCTCCAGGCTTGAAGGACGGCGTACGGCGTGAGAAGATATGGACAGACACCAGCATTTTTTTGTTTTCTTTTCCCTTCACTTACATGTTGTTATCTTCCACGGATTTTGTTTCGGTTCGTCTTATGTTTATGCGAGGGGGCAACGGCGTTCAACAAAAGGCATACCGCCCTCTCGGGGATCCAGGGTGACTGCTGTGCGGCGCTCTTTGTGTGTCATTGTGGTTTCAAACTTGGATGTTGTGATGTCTAGAATTGGATAGAACGGGATGACCCGTCGGCGGACCGCTTTGGTTCGTTTCATCCATGTACCAACGAGTTTTCTTTCTTCATTTACTTGCGTCTGAGGTCCCCTCATTCCAAATCTTGCGCCTGGAAAAGTTCTTTGTTATCCTTTTTGCCCCTTGGTTGGCGCCACAGGCGGTTAACGCGGACGAACAAGGAAGATATGTATGTAACTATACGTACCTGTTTTTTTACAGTATCTCTAGGTTTCTATTTTATCTACCGCTTTAGTGAGGTAAATAGGGCCCAATTCGTGAGTACCAAAGTTCCATAAACTTGTACTTACTCACCTACTCTTCATTCCAGATATGTAGCCCATTAATCACGGCCAATGAATGTGAAGGAGCAGTGGCTGCAATCGGTCAAACGATCAGCTGATCTGCAGGGTCAGGATGGTTTCAAGTGATGAGGGTGTACTACTTGAACCTTGGAGCAGGTTTGCAATGTTAACACCATTGATTCTTACCTAGTAGCTATCTCGACATGCTATGATACTTTCACCACTACCACCTCCTCCTTCTCCTCCTCCCACACCACCACCTTAGTGTCCGACGCCATTTGACTATCTCCGAGATATCCCGATACACCAGCTAGCCATGTAAAGGAACTACTATGGCAATAAACCCAGACCAGCATATTACCCAGCAGGCGATTGATCTAGTTTCATCTACCAAGCATGCGTGGGGTACCGCTACCGCAGGGAACCTCCCAGACCCCAGACCCAGCAAATTCTAGTCGTATTCTGACCATTAACTATACGATGAAAGAGCACAAACAGAACCAAATGCGACTAACGTCGAGGTATGACCCAGGGTCTCATATAACCAGACCAGCAGCCAATACCGTAGTCTCCCCTGCACTCATCGCCCAAGAGAGTCTCGTGATCTTGGCACTCGGTCGTTAAAAGAAGCGTCTCCACCGGGTTCCAGCCTCCAGTCATGCCGGGCAGGGCACTATCTGAGCCGCAAGCGGGCGAGGATCCCTCCCAGTGGCATTGTAGTCTATTCACGAAGCAGTCGGCGACTGTTTCTGGGGTGATGAGAGCGAGTAGTTTCTTGGAACTTCGTGATGCGAGATTCATCGAGAGGTTTTGTGTTGGAGTTGCTTTTGTTAAGTAGTATCCTCACGATAACTTGAGATGTGGGTGGGCTACGAATCAGTTCGAGGGTACTGGTTGGGGATTAACTATCCGGTTTGGATAGGGTAGATATCAATACTGATACTGAAGTTGTCGGTAACATAGTAAATGAGAAGCAAGAGAGAGCTAGCTAGTATGTAGGGATATCAAGCAAGAAGGCTTGACATGGGTGGCATACTCCAGAGTACGTCATACCATTCCAGTAGTTGATACATGTCGACCATGCAAATTATGAGAAAAAAGACGGTGGATTCTCTAACTGATGGATAGATGGACACGTCCCGGGTATCCAGGGGTAACATCCATGGTGAAATGTTTATTATCCTGACTATCAGTGATTGTCTTATTGGCCGTTTGTATTACTCCATGTCTCATATTTAATTTGGAATGTCTTTTTCTTGTGAATACAACCCTTTGTATGTACAAAAATGGTCATCCTTAGTCGATAATGGGTTATGCTGATAGGACCTAGACGCACTTCCTACAGGCAAATTTTGATCATACCTTGGTGGTCATTATAGTGGTCATGTGACCGATTGAGGGTACTCTAAAAGTCCATCTCCTGGGTCAATCATTCTAGATATGAGTGTCAATAAACTGACAGGTGTAGACTCGTACGCAGTCGGTTATTTCAATATTATCAGAAGTTCTCTCTATATACATTAATTTCCCTTTTTGTATCATATTGACTATTCTCTCTGGGACGACTTCCATTCCTCTCTCCATGATATTTTATCTGGTTGGCCCTATAGTTATTCTGATATGATCTGTAGGAGAGTACATCCCATAGCATAGAAGGAAGAAAGCATATCACATTGTGACTCCCGGTGGCAATTACTTCTTCATCGTGGGGAGCATCGGAGATTGGCCCCACTAGATTCGATCGATCTCCGATCCTATCGAGCCTGTGCATCCGGTCGATCCCAGCGTCGGATATTACGTCCCTCCGTGGACAAATTGACAACCCCTTTGACGTTGATTTTGATTTCAGATCTTAGCCAAGCTGAACAAAGGCAAGAAGGGAACGAACCATGGAACTGGCCGGGAGGGACCGAGAATACCAGAGTTCCGTTGTAGTATCGTAGAGAATAAGACTGGATCAGGCACCCACTGTACCGAACCCCCTCCCAGTTTGGTCGACATGATCGAGATGTTTCATATGGATTGCTTGTTTTTTGATCTTCCTCCGTCGACCTTCCTCCTCTCACCCACACTCCCAGTGATCTCCGGGTTTCTGCTGCAGGATGATGTCAGTGTCCCTTGGTTCTGCTTAGGTAAGGGCTCAGAGCACACGATCTGTCTGGCCATCCAGTGAGGCGACATCACCATGATTCAACCAATTCCAGTTGAGAGATCAGCCGTGGGGCTGCGAGTCAATCAGAGCAGCTGAATCTTTCAACGAGGAAGCTGATAGCTGCAGGGTGGCGCTGGTAAACTGCCGTCCAGCCATACGTCACCTGCGCGTGCCCCGCCTTTGCGTTGTCTCGCCTCGTTTCGCCTACTTCTGCGCCACTTCTTTTTCTTTTTTCTTCTTCTCTCTCATCATTATCCCGATCTCCTTATATCTCCTGTGTCTTTCTCTTCCTCTTTCTGTCTCATCCTTCAAGACTCCCCACCTTGAGCAGACACCCCATTGTCTCATGCTCTTTCCACTCGCTTAGCTTCGACTCAACCACACCAACCTCGCCATGGCGTACTATGACGAACCCCACTACTACCAGCCTCCCCGGGATCGTTACGCCCGTCCAGACTATCCAGGAGACCCTTATCATCACAGCAGCAAACCATACAGCGGAAGTCACCATGGTCTAGACGTGGTCCCTCGAGCTGACAGCCTCGAATCCTACGACCCACGATCCCGTGACTACCCCTCAGGTGACTATGGGTACGAGTATGGCTACGGCCATCCGCCTCATCCTCGACGATCCAGGGTCGCCACTGCCCCGGAGAGCGCCCGTCGCGCTCACTCCCTAGAAGGCCGCGGCTACTACGAGGGGTCGGATTATTCGCATCGTCCGCGCCACAAACACCGAACAAAACATCACGGTAGTCGACGTACGTCCAGCCAATCTCTTTAGTAACTTTCATGCTGACCCTCTCCAGATCACAAGCATTCCACCCGATCATCATCCAGCAGTCGCTCCCCGCCCCCGCGACACCTCAAGTCCGTCTCCGGGCGCGATAGCTCTCGCAGTCGCCGTTCCCACAAGTCCTACTCATACTCCCCGTCCCCGACGCGGCGCGGAGGCGGTCATCACAAGAGGGACAAAAGCGAGCAGCGCGTTACGCAAGCCGTCCGCGCCGCCGTGACAGCTGGCGCCATCGAGGCCTTCCGACTGCGCAAAGACCCCGGCGAGTGGACGGGCGACAAAGGACGCCGCATCCTGACGGCAGCCATCACAGCGGGTGGCACCGACGGACTGGTGGATCGTGATCCCTCGAAGCATTCCAAGCGTCACGTCGTCGAGTCCACTCTCGCCGGTCTCGCCGCAAACCATTTCGTCAACGGATCCCGATCCAAGTCCCGGTCGCGGTCCAAGTCCCGCGGCCGTTCGGACAGCCACAGCAAGGCGAAAGTCGCGGCGACAGGCGCCTTAGTTGCCGCGGGCAAGGAGGCGTATGACCGCTTCCGGTCGAAGTCACGCCCCCGGGGCCGATCCGCCTCGCGCGACAGCCACGATTTCCGGGGGTCGCCGGACCGTCGTCCTCGCCGGCGGAGTCGGAGCGTGACTGATTACATTAACAAGGGCATAGCGGCACTTGGTCTTTCGGACAACAAGGACAGCCACGGACATGGAGGTCACAAGAGCGGGCGTCATCGGTCCTCCCGCTACAGCGATTACTCGGACGAGGATCCTTATTACTACAGTGACTATGACACTCGGAGCCGTGGCAGTACCCGGCGATCCCGGCATTCTAAAGATGTAGGTGACTGTTCGTTCCACCCTCTTCTAGAATTTGAATCTAACCCAGGACAGTACCGGTGAGCAAAGCAACAGAGAAGCTCCACGGCAGGCCACGCCTCCCACAGGCTGTGTGGTTGCGTGAAGAAGCACCGCAAACGCGTTGAGCTGTGAAGGAGGGCGAGTGACGTGCCATCTCTGAGCGTCGTCCTAGGTTTCCATTGTACGGCTCGAGGATCCATCATATCCTACCTACCCTTTCTCCTTCAAAGTCTATCTCAAGGCAAGTAACCGTGGCAAGACCTGTCGCGGGAAACCAACCGATTACAGGTTGATTTTCTGTGCCGTTCTCATCTTTTTTCTTTTCTCTTAATATATCTATGTCTTGACGATTAATGAGTGTATGAGTGATTGAATGAATGAATGAATGAATATATAAATAGTAATCCTGATAATTCCCTTCAGTTAGTACCTTTAGTCAGTCAAAAAGCCTCGTCTATCGTCCTAGCCTAAGTGCAATCCGCACAAAAGTCATAATCATACACCTGATCTTGAAATTCCACGTCCACAGACGTCCTCAACTAAACGAGCAAATCCCCCCCCCCCCCCCCCC